TTTCCTGACAGTTTCTCGCGATGTGCCCTTCCTTTTTTGCAGTTGTAGCAGATTAGTGGCTTCCGTGATTCAAACGCCCGTGTGGTATCAGTGCGTTGTTTAGAGACCTCACTCGATTTTTCCGCTTCTGTTTTTCTCTTCCTCTACAGTGTCCTTCGTAAGAGACGGGTCCTTTTTGAAATTACGGTGTGGAGCGGGTTTCCGTTGATCAGGTTTCTTTGAAAAGCCCTCTTTTCTTTCATCCTTTTCAACGCGCACTGCCCTGCTATGCAACTTTCGGCGAGTATAATACTCCTCAGCTAACTCTGCTGCCTTGTTTAACTGTACTTCACCAAGTTTGTCCTGCAGCCAAAGTTTAACATCCTCCTCGATGCAGCGGTAGAATTGCTCCAATGCAACGCATTCCACCACTTTATCGCGGTCGTCATAAACACCTTCGCCCTTGAGCCATTCGATCAAATCGGCTTTAAGACGAAACGCGAAGTCAACGTGTGACTCATTCCCCTTTTTAGCATACCGGAACCTTTGCCTGAAAGCCTCGGGTGACAACTTATAACGTCTCAAGAGCACTTCCTTAACCTCGTCATAGCTCTCAAACGCTTCCCTCGACAAGCAAGTTATCGCGTCGGACACTTCGCCGGGGAGAAGAGCTAGCAGGTTCCGCGCCCAAAGAGACTGCTCCAAAGCATTTCGCTCACAGACGTGTTCAAACTTGACGAGATACTTCGCCATGTCCTCGCCCACTACGAACGGTGGCAGTTGATCCCCGAATTCTAATACCGCTGACCTGAATCGTCGGAGAAGCTGCGCTAGGCGCCTGCGAACACTGTAGGATTGCCAATTCTATTCGTTTCATCTCGAGGCGCTCCTGTCTCTCGGCCTCCTCGCGACGTTCGCGCCTTTCAGCTTCTTCGCGTTCGCGAGCTTCTCGCCTTTCTTCACGTTCGCGAGCTTCGCGCCTTTCTTCACGTTCGCGAGCTTCGCGCCTTTCAGCCTCTTCACGAGCTTCTCGCCTTTCAGCCTCCTCACGTTCGCGAGCTTCTACTTCTCGCCTTTCAGCCTTCTCACGGCGTGCTTTAATATCCACCCAGGCCTCATCGACTTCCTCAGCCGACACTCCCTCATCCTTCATGATCTCAAGGATCGCTTGCTTTCGTTTCGCACGGCCCAAAGTAATGCCGAGTTCCTCACAAATTTCGATGAGTTCCTTCACTTTAAGGTTCTCCATCGTTCACACTAGCCTCTTGCTGTTTGCCCCTGTTAAGAATCTACTTGCCGTACCCACTATAAGCCTACTAGCAAGACGCGCAAGCAATTTTAACACTGCCGTGTTTACCCCCTCTGCATTAACTTTGGTTTCAAAGCGCTTCGACTTGGCTTGAAACGATCAACGCTTACTTTAATGCTTCACACAGCCCTTCTCTAAACTACTACAACCTGAGCTAGAGTAGTCTGGTGAACTGAGGGGAAAACATCAGGCACTCACCGCATCGATGTCGCTGACGCCGGCCGATCCCGCAGCTGCCAACCACTGTTGCGAAACCGCCTCCGAATCCCGCCGCTGACCTCCACTGTTGAGAACGACGGACCGATCCCGCCGAAGCCACCACTGTTGCGAAAGACGGCGACGCCGACGCGGTCCCGGAGGCGCCACTGCTTTCGACCCCGCCGGGAAGGTCACCAGCCGTTTGGTAGCGTATGTTTCTCAGCTCGCGACTGCTTCTGCGCAGAGCTGAGGAGACGAGCGGACGAGACGACGGTGAGTTAAACAAGGTTTATGTACAGCATATATACAGAGGCGTTACAATTTCGGCACTGGGGCCGGCAGAGACTCGAAGAGCCGAGCTCCTCTCTCTAACACATAGGTCAGCCTTTCGCCTAAAACCGCTGATCGCGACACGCCGCAGGGCTTCTTTTATTTACACCGGGCCCAACTAAAATGTCCAATCAGAAGCGCCGCTGGTCTTCAGAGCAGGCTCCTCCAATGGGGTTCGCCGCGCGATGCGTCAGGCCACCAGACATGAGGACGCCGGCTCGCTGTCACGTGCGACGCTGACTCAGTGCACGTGGGCCACAGATGCGCCGCGCGTGTTCACGCCGTGGAGTTGTTCGCGCCCGGCGGGCTGCGGGCTGGCCTTGACCCAGATTGCCTGTTTCAGAGGCACGGACGTTTGACGAGGACTCGCTGGCATAACAGGGCAGAAGACTTTCAACTACATTCGCGCCTTTCTATCACATCGCACCGGCTTCATTCGCCTTAATTCTACCGAACACGGCCCGTACTTATTAGGCACGCGGGGTACACCTCAAGGGGCAGTCCTGTCTCCTCTGCTTTTTAACCTGGCGATGATGAACCTCCCCTCTCTTCTAAGCGAGGTCGAGGGAATACAACACGCACTATATGCGGACGATATCACAATTTGGACCAACACCGGCTCCTTAGCGCAAATCGAAGAACGCCTGCAAAAGGCTGCCCTTCTGGTAGACACCTACGCAGGTTCATGCGGTCTGGAGTGCTCTCCAGCTAAATCGGCTCTTCTTTCAGTCTCTCCACTACCGCCGCCTCAAATTTTTCTTCCGTCCGGGCCCGTCCCGTCAGTGCAAAATATTCGGGTTCTTGGCCTTCACCTCACATCGTCCTTGGATCCAAAGGGCACAATAGCAGGCCTCAGACGCACCAGCGAACAGGTGAGCCGCATGATACGGCGGGTTTCTACCAAGCGCGGCGGCCTCCGCGGGTCTCAGTCCCTCCGATTGGCCCACGCGTTTGTGACCAGTCGCGTCCTCTACGCCTTGCCTTACCTTCGCCTGCGTCATCGACACGAGCACCAGCTGGACGTCCTTCTTCGTTCAGTATACAAACACGCTCTGGACCTACCTATTGCAACTTCCAACAGCCGATTCACGGCTCTGGGGGTACACAACACCTTTGCAGAGATGCGCGAAGCTCATCGCGTTAACCAAATCAATCGACTGTCGCAGACGCCTTCAGGGCGCCGTCTTCTACACAGACTTGGCCTTAACCAGATATCTGACCAAGACCCTCTGCAGCCGATACCAGAGCTCTGGCGTCAAAAGCTATAGGTGGAACCTCTACCCCGTAATATGAACCCTGACCTCCATCCTGGCCGTAGGCTAGCACGCGCCGCGGCCCTTCATACGCGACACTCCGATCGTCCTGGTGTTTTCTACGTGGACGTCTCGGGTCCCTCTTCCTCGGGTCACTTCACGGCTGCCGTGATTACAGAGGGCAAACACGTAGATGGCCTCTCCTTTCGAGCAGACACAGTAACGCACGCTGAAGAGGTTGCCATAGCTTTGGCCACCTCTCACCCTGCCTCACGCACCATCCTGACGGACTCGCGCTCGGCCTGTTCTCAGAACCTTCAGGGTTCCATTGCTCCGCTGGCGGCTAGCCTACTACAGGCAGCCTCTTGGCGCTTTAACCCTCATCCCATTCGTATAGTGTGGACCCCAGGCCACTCGGGCCTGCCCGGCAACGAGGCGGCAAATGCCGCTGCCCGCGCTTCTTCTGTCCGGGCCGTTGCCCCTCCATGTCCCGAGACGGAATCTGGCAATACCAACCTGACGCGCTTTCGCGAAATTTTGGCTTATTACCGGGCTTCGCGCCGCCTCTACCCGGACCCCGCACGCGGTTTGGAGAAAGCGGACGAACGACTGCTACGCCGCCTGCAGACGAACACTTTTATCAGTCCGGCGGTCGCCAGGCACTTTTTGCCGGAAATCAATGGCACCTGCTCGACCTGTCATGTGCTCGCCGACACATATCACGTCGTAGCATCGTGCCCAGTTAATCCCGTCCCTTTCTCATCCCCTTTTCCTATCCCAACTAGAGAGGCTTGGGAGGAGCACCTGCTCGGCTGCTCTACCTTGGCTGCACAACGCTCCTTGGTGGAGCGCGCACGGGCAGCTTCCAGCTCCACTGGCGTCCCGGAATAGGGTCTTGCCACTCTAGCACGCCGATGGGCCACGTCGGCACTCTCTAGTAAACTTTTTCTGAAATAAATGTTTTTTACCACCACCACCACCTCTTCTCCCATTCAAAAACGCCGCCGCCACGCCAACCAACCATCTCGCATCTATCGTCGAGCGATCTCTAGAAATATCGAGAAGGAAGGGGTAAATCACGCCCTAGTTGCATCAGGGGTCGCGGAGATTTCGAGAAAGGTCCCACCCCCTTCCCCTGCTTTGGCTGTGCGGCGCACCGATGAAACTTCCGAGAACCCAGGGCGAGCGTATATAAGCAGCCGGCGGAGGAACGCGAGGCAGGAGATGAAGTAGTGTTTTCCGCCAGCAGGCAAAGGCTTGTTCTACAGGGACTAAGCAGGAGAAGAAGTGAGTTTCTTCCGCCAGCGGACGAAGACGTGATCTGCAATAGCAGCGCGTGAGTGGCCGAGGTGTTGCCGGAGAAGAAGTTTTGGTATTGAAGTGCGGTTATTTGATGACGCGAGAGTTCCCTGGAAGGGAAACCTCAGACGCAGTGGGACGACAACCGGCGCTGGAGTTTGAGTGAGTGTTTTCTTGAACAGAAGTATTCAAGCTTTGTTCCAAGAACTTTGGACTGAACAGTGAATACCTCTGACAAACATTTAAGTCTATAAGGGTCTTAGTTAGTTAATACACGAGATTTCATTGTAGCGCGTGTTGTTTGTGTTCGTTGTTTTGAGTGTATTCTGAGTATCTTGTGATTGGTGTCGTATTGCATTGCATAAACGCTGAGTGTGCAAGTTCGTGCTTTGTTTGTTCTGCCTTATCCGAGATTATATTTTCGGATTTGTTATCAATTCTCGGTTCTACCACAGCCGACTTCTGCTGGCATACCAAAAGGACCAACACTGAATCGTCTGCATTTTGTCGTGCAGTTCAGGCGACCGATACGTCAACCCCTAGGAATTAGCCAGGTGATTGCCTCTATAATTACGGGGCTAATGACAATGGCCAAAGCGCAAAGAATATAACCAGGAAGACGCCACTCGTACCTTAGTCTCTGTAATCTTGACACCTTTCTCTCCCCGTTGCCAGTCCCATAGGGAGATGGTGTGTTCGTTCGAGTCGTCCACTGCACACAGGATGGAGCCACCATCCTACAAAAGAGAAGAACACAAACTTAGACATGCTGAGTACCTTAATTACTTGAAGGGGCAATGAGTTTTTCAGCATGGTGAGTAAACGCTGCAAATTGGTAGTCAAGGTTGCTGATAACACACAAGCCGAACATTGTACTGCAGCATTCAGCTTAGAATTTAGAATTATTTCTCAAATTTAGTTAGAAGTAGCTCCCTGTTCTCTATATAAGTAATAACATTAACCCCAACAACCACGTCATAAGCCCTAAAACTAGTGGAACTTAGAATTAATTCTCAAACTATGTCAGAAATAGCTCCCTCTTCTCTATATACCCCAATAACCACGTCATAAGCCCTAAAAGCAGGACCTTTGACTGATCGGAGTGTTTACAATTTCAGAACAATACAATTACGAAACTATATATGCAGGCTGCATGCAAGAGAGAAAATAAAAAAAGAGAAAGAAATGGGATCCTGCTTCCCAGCCACAACATCTCGTGGCATGTGTCTTTCCTACTTGGCCTAAATGAACAACTTCATGACTAGAGCCCTCGAACAACTGAGACCAGCCTAGATCCCACCGGTTGAAGACCCACAATGGCATGTAACGCATTTGCATTCCTTACGAGAGTGAGCCTGTCCACCTCCCACTTCTGCGGTGGCGAGCACCTTGGCCATTGATCCACAGGAATGGTGACTGGTGCACAGTTACGGAACTATATAAGCACGCTGATCCCAAGAAAGAAAATGCAAAAGAATGAAAAAGGAATGAGATCTTGCTTCCCTGCCACGGTGTTTCATGGCAGGCATCGTCGCTACTTGGTCCAAATGTACAACTTCGCAACTAGAGGCCCAGAACAACTGAGACCAGCCCAGATCCCACCGGTTTTAAGACCCACGACGGCAGGTAACGCATTTTCAGTTCTTACGAGAGTGAGCCTGTCCACCTCCCACTTCTGCGGTGGCGAGCACCTTGGCCATTGATCCACAGGAATGGTGACTGGTACACAGTTACGGAACTATATAAGCACGCTGATCCCAAGAAAGAAAATGGAAAAGAATGAAAAAGGAATGAGATCTTGCTTCCCTGCCACGGTGTTTCATGGCAGGCATCGTCGCTACTTGGTCCAAATGTACAACTTCGCAACTAGAGGCCCAGAACAACTGAGACCAGCCCAGATCCCACCGGTTTAAAACCCACGACGGCAGGTAACGCATTTTCAGTTCTTACGAGAGTGAGCCTGTCCACCTCCCACTTCTGCGGTGGCGAGCACCTTGGCCATTGATCCACAGGAATGGTGACTGGTACACAGTTACGGAACTATATAAGCACGCTGATCCCAAGAAAGAAAATGCAAAAGAATGAAAAAGGAATGAGATCTTGCTTTCCTGCCACGGTGTCTCGTGGCAGGCATCGTCACTACTTGGTCCAAATGTACAACTTCGCAACTAGAGGCCCAGAACAACTGAGACCAGCCCAGATCTCACCGGTTTAAGACCCACGACGTCAGGTAACGCATTTTCAGTTCTTACGAGAGTGAGCCTGTCCACCTCCCACTTCTGCGGTGGCGAGCACCTTGGCCATTGATCCACAGGAATGGTGACTGGTACACAGTTACGGAACTATATAAGCACGCTGATCCCAAGAAAGAAAATGCAAAAGAATGAAAAAGGAATGAGATCTTGCTTCCCTGCCACGGTGTCTCGTGGCAGGCATCGTCGCTACTTGGTCCAAATGTACAACTTCGCAACTAGAGGCCCAGAACAACTGAGACCAGCCCAGATCCCACCGGTTTAAGACCCACGACGTCAGGTAACGCATTTTCAGTTCTTACGAGAGTGAGCCTGTCCACCTCCCACTTCTGCGGTGGCAAGCACCTTGGCCATTGATCCACAGGAATGGTGACTGGTACACAGTTACGGAACTATATAAGCACGCTGATCCCAAGAAAGAAAATGCAAAAGAATGAAAAAGGAATGAGATCTTGCTTCCCTGCCACGTTGTCTCGTGGCAGGCATCGTCGCTACTTGGTCCAAATGTACAATTTCGCAACTAGAGGCCCAGAACAACAGAGGCTCGCGCAGATCCCACTGGTTGTAGACCCGCGACTGGCAGCTAACAATTCCATCTGAAGTGAATATGTCTACTTCCCACTCTTGCAGTGGTGAGCACCTTGGCCACTGATCCGCAGGAATGGCGACTAGTATATACAGTGAAAGCTCGTTAATTCAGACCTCATTAATTCGAAATTTTGGATAATTCGAAATGGTCGCTGCAGTCCGGTCCGCAGTGCATAGGAGACCATGTGTAAAACGATTCGTTAATTCGAACAGAAATTGCTGCCTCTACGGATAATTCGAAGCGAGCGCCGCCGAGCGTCATCATCTTCAAACACTAGTGGAAGCTTTTACGGTCGAACAATAGGTGGCACGACCAGTTTTTTCAAGCTTCAAGTGGCCTCCGAGCAAAGGGCGAGCAAAGTATGGCCTCCAAAATCCATGAGCATTTTTTTTTTTTTTTCGTAGCCCTCCCGCTATCTCAGCGCCTGGCGCCACTTGTACGCGGGACCCACGGGACGCTGAGGAGTCGGCGGAGTAGTCCTAACAGTCCTAGGCCGCTCCCGGCAGCGTCGCTTTGTTCCTCGAGCACGTTGTTTGTTCACGAATGATTTCGTGCGCGGGCGACAGGAAGGACTTTGGCATTACGCTGCTCACCTGCCATGCACATGTTGGTGCGCGCATGGGAACACGTGACCGCGACCACAATCGCAAACTGTTTCCGCCACAGTGGATTTGCAGCTGGAAGTGCGCAGGATAGTTGTGACGTTGACGTGGATGGGGCTGAGGAGCTCATGCCAGTGGCATTGCGCGACACTCTTCGGGGCGTACGTTTTGCCGATTATGTTGGAGTTGACACGGGTGCATCGGTGTGTGGTGCCTTGACTGATGAGGACATTATCGCTCAAGTAGCTGGTGCGCAGCCCGATGCTGAAGAGCCAGAAGGTGAGGAAGACGAAAATGACGAAGCGCCTGTGCGCCCGTCAGCTTCTGCGGTGATGGAGGCACTTAATCTGGCGCGTCTCTTCTTCAGCTTTGAAGAGGGTGAAGAGGATTCCCTGCGCCGCGTCCGCGCCCTGGAACAGGGAGCCGCAGCTGTGGCATTCAGAGAAAAGAAGCAGATGGTCATCACCGACTTTTTTGGCCAATAAATATTTTTCGTGCCCCCACCCCCGAAATCCACCCATTTTCGCTCACTTTCATTATTTCGAATTTTGTTTAATTCGAAATTGCTCAGCGTTCTCGTGGAATTCGAATTAATGAGCTTTTACTGTACAGTGGAACTTCGATTATACGACTTTCAGGGTACCACCAAAATCGTCGTATAATCCGGGCGTCGGATAATCGAAAAACCAAAAATATAGGCACTGATGGTCGTTGTTGCCCCACAACAGTTGTCACATAATGCGTAACAAAGTCCGGGGCACAAATTTACGCTGCTCCGATGAAGGTAGATTAAATTACCTGAAAAAATGACAACCACGCATTTTATCGGAGGTGTGAACAAATCTTTATTCTCACCTTTTCAAAAAAATCTGTGATTTTTTTTTCTGCGGGTTTGCCCAGCCACGATGCATCAGCTTTCTTTCGAGAGCTGCGACATCTGGCAGCAAGTTGCCGATCTCGTCGCGTGCGCAAGCAAACCGCCGAATGTTGTCGACGTAGCACAACACGTCCGCATACGTCGGAACGGACGCACTAGCCTCTGCAGTGTCATCTATCTCTTCCTCGTCAGAAGTTCCCGCAGTGTCAGGACGCACGGTTTCGATAATGTCATCCAGCGACACTGCACTGCTCACTGCAACGTCGTCGTCGGCACCAACATAGTCCGCGAAGGATTCAGGCAGCTCCAGGTTGCCGAACTCTGGTAGCGGAACCGGAACTAGCTGCTGTCTAGCCCTCTGGTAGCTAGACAGCAGCTAGTTCCGGTTCCCGTGGCTGTCCCAAACGTAGACAGGCTCAACAATCGCCGTTCAGCACGTCCGGTACAACGACGCGAAATCTAGTGAAAGTCATCGCATACTAGAAAGCAAGCTCGAAATCATTGCCATGTTACCTGCTAACAGCTGTCACTAAAAAACCACCCAAAAGAAGGCAGAAAACAAAACAAAAAAAAGGCCCCAACGGAAGTGCGCAGTGCAATGCGCTTAAACAAAACGAATGCACTCCGGCTGGCTCTGGACAACGATGGCTCTGGCTAGCTATGGCCGACAGCGTGTCAAAAATTGAAGAGGCCCTGTGGTGGCAGCGGTGGCAGCGCGAATAATGTGCTATAATGTGCGGAGGAACGAACTCGGTTCCTTGGTTTCCAGACTTTTTTTTTCATCCGGCCGCAGTGTGCTTGCGTGGCAGCCTGTGTGCGTCATCGTAGGTTTTTTTTTTTTTCTCGGACAGTCCAGCTAAGCGTCGTATTTGGCGGGGCCGGCGTAAAATTGCGTCGTAGAATTGAGGTTTTCAATACATTAGTTCTATGGGGGTTTTGCCGGGACCAAGCCAATTCGTCGTAAAAGGCAGGTCGTTGCAGGACCGGGGGACGTATAATCGAAGTTCCGCTGTATATCTTTGTTGCATTCATAGGAGAAAATTCAATATTGAAAGAAATAAGGTTTGGCCTTGTGGCAGGCATTGTCCATACTTGGCTGCCATGTATAAATTACCAATGTGCAATGCCATGAGAATGGCGACTGTAATTGTGCCATGTGGCAGGCATTGTCGATACTTGGCTGCCATGTATAAATTACCAATGTGCAATGCCATGAGAATCGAGACTGTAGTTGTGTCTTGACCAAGCAATGTCTATTGAGAAAGGAAGAAACGAACGCGTCTCAGGAACGAGCTTTCAGTGCCAGTACATCCAACAGGCAAAGCCAACATGAAGCAGGCGCAATGTTGATTGGTGCAGTTGTATATAACTTCGCAAAAAGCCACATTCCACATGTCCCTGCATTGATAAGTTTGGAATGTTTATTTCTTATTACAGCACAAAGCTGACCACCCTCTTTATCAACAGCCTACTGTATAGCTACTCTTTTCCAGATTAAGTACAGCAGACTAAAGGAGTAAAGCATTTCTGTGTCAGAATGTGGTGACAGTGAAAAAACAGACCAGCCGAAGCACATGTGAAAAATGCAACTGTTTGCTGAATGAACATGTGCGCAGCAAAAGAAACAACTCGTGCACGGTGACAGTGAAGACAACAGTTGTCGGAATCTGATAAATGGGTGAAACTCGCCAGCATGCATTTATATTTATATAGAGACACATTGTGAAGGTAGTTCATATGGGTTCATGACACAAGAAGCTAAGCAAGCAAACATGGACGGAGTAGGAGATAGCAGGACAAGACAGATGACTATATAAAAACTAGCAAAATTTTCAGCTGTGGAATTTTTCTAATTATGAGATATATTACTCCATGCATTTATATAAATGTTTGCTTGTTTGCGCAGTACTGCTGCCAACCTATTTACAGCATCAGAGCGCTAGCAGGCCATTAGCAGGTTAGTCTATTGTATGATGGACTCGATGCCCGCCACATGAACGAAAAACAAGGTTGTAAACCCTTTCCCTTTCCTCCTTTCCACTAGTGCCAGTTGCTAGCGCCACGTGCAGCAGACAACCCAATAATCACAGCATCTTGCATTATCTCCTGAACAGCTGCACACAGTATCTGGTGTCAAAGAACTCTCAACTCATGCGCCCCTATGGGCCATGAACAAAGCACGCTTAGTAGATAATGTGATTGTAGTGTCCGCTGCGAGCGCCAGCTCGCTTCGTTTGCTTGAAACGTGAGGCAGGTTGGTTCCAATTGGACTTCGAGCCACTCCTCAGGCATCTGATAAAAGAGGCTATGGTTGGACATGCGCAGCCACAGTATTGGCTGATAACGCGCTGCGAGGCTTCTGTGTCTTAGTATTTTTGGCGTCGTGGTTATAAAAGACCAAACTTGACCAAACTCGCCAAAACTTGACCACGTACATTGCTTCGCTGCTGGCAAATAGTCTTTCACAGTTCTTTTATGGGCACAAGTTCACCCAAGTAAACCTAACTTTACTAACTCTGAAAAATCGCCTCGTCTCTGTGCTAACATACACAGGCCGTAACTTGAACTTCACAATCCAAAGCTTTCACCCTGAAATGGTTGCGAGATTAGGAAGCACAATGGGCAGTGGTTTGCAAGGCACGGGCTGTTAGACAGTGCACTCACCATTTTGGAGAATGCAATGCAGCTGACCGCTCGCTCAAAGTCGCCAACTCCGATGACGTGCAACGTGTTGAGGCTGACCGAGTCCCATATCCTGACGTGGGGCTGGAACAAGGAGCACGCACAGGGACCGCACGTAGAGTGCGCACCAATGTGCTGTCGTCAGAACAAGGTATAGCACACTATCTTCGAAAAAGTCATGGCAGGGAAATGGCGAGAATACGAAATGTGAGAAGAGGATGCTCAAGTACTGTTTTCTGAGCGGTGCTGCGCTCCATTTTTCCATTAATTCTCTGTTTTGGCCATGGCCTTAGCTAAATTTCCAAACTGACTCTTCTGCTGTGCAGTGTATAACAGTATATTAAAATCATACACTTGAAAATATGGTAATTTGTTCAACTGCAGGCTAAAAAAATTACTGCATTATTTAGTCACTCAAGAGTGACTAGACACAGCATTCAGCCGAAGGAAGCATACCCCATGAGATAATCCGTTAATACATTACGAAAATATGTTATTGTTATAAGCTGTCGGTGCCCTTCCCGTGCAAAATTACATTTTTGCAAGAGTGTAATGCACACCATGGCATCAAAAAGAAAGTTTTAAACTAGATACTGCAGTCTATAGAGGCAGAATCACCTTACACAGAACACCAATCGGTCATTAATGTCATAACAAATACTTTTTTCATAGCATGTACAAATTTTTACTTCTACTTAATCTTGTCCAATGTGCAAGGAACACGAGCTCTGAAAAAATATATGGAATTACGATGTATTCCGCACCAGTAGCCAGTAAAACAGTTGAATAGACTAATGATTTGCCAAATTGAAAAAACTTTCCTTATTTTACAACTTGCTTGTTGCCTAAACGACACCAACAAAATCACATCCCTTGAGCATCCTCTCAAATCAAAACAAGAAACACGCATGGCTGTGCAGTGACGGGTGCAAAGCCGTTGCGGCAAGAAGCAGCAAGGCAGGACACAAAAGTGCTCACACAGAAGGCACACTACTCCAGAGCGGCAGTCTCAAACTCGTATTGCGCTACAACCTGCAAGTGGAGAATGAACCACTACTAATGTTGTACTGTTGATAGCAGCAGTAAAAAAAAAAAAACTTCCAATCAAGAAAAAAAGAAAGGGCATTCTTGCCTTGCACTGTAGAAGTCTCGATTTTTTACAATGCACTGCTATTTTTGAGACATTGGAGTGCCCTCACAAACTGTGCACATGTGAAAATACGCAAGCACAGAAAGTTAAGCTTAGCAAATGTGAAGAGTGGCTTCCTATAAAGATGCTGACAGCACAAAGGAAGTTAAGGCAGATGATGCAGGATCCGCTGCTACACTGTCAGTTCCCTCTTTTCTTTTTTAGATTACGCTTATTTCAGTTATCTCAATTCGTGTGATTAATGTGTATTCTAATACCCATGAGGACTTGAGAGTATCACAAGAGACTCAACAATTATTTTATGCACTGTTTTTAAATGCAACTTCGCATCAACGTTATATAATTAAGCATAGAAAAACAAAAAAAAACAAGCTTCTCGGATAAAAGCTGCTAAATGTAGGCAACAAAAATGAAATCTGAAACACAGTTAACCATTCAGGCTTCGCATGTGCTCCCTAACCATTTGAGTTTAAGATGTTGTGAAAGACTGCATGAGTAATGAGGTTCGAGAGCGCTGCCCTGGTGTTCAACCTACAAGCAGCCGCATGCCACAACAAGATGGATTCTACGGCTACATGCCAGGCGGGGAAGCCAGCAACAGGAAAGGGCCAACTGGCATCAATGCTGCACACGGTACCGTGAATAGAATTAGAGAACAAAACTAGCAAGAAACGAGTCTTGCACATTACTGAAACTGAACAGAGCATCCGATTCCCTCAACAGGAAGAATAATCTCTAGAATACGACATTATTATGAGATCACAATTTCGTGGAAATAGTTAAGGAATGGCTCATTTCATTCATTCACTCAAGAAAAAGACAGACTTACACACAAGAGAAAACTTGTTCAAGAAGTAAGCGTTTGAGTGCGATAGCCCTGAGCGAATGTTCTACAATAGCTTCCTATTGCTTCCCACAACACAGACAAGTCAACTGTCCCGCTTTTAAAAATAAAGTCCCCTGGCTGCATAAGAAAACAAATAAAAAGATAATTAACTTATATAGTGAGGTCACACCTACATATATTTGAAAGCAATTATTAATTTATTGAGCCGAGGCCAAAGTGAGCCTGGCTTCCTTTAAACAGAATGTACTGGATTACATCACTGTCATAGTGGGGTCTGCGTAAAATTGTATGTGGCAATTCATGATAACTCCTTTTGCTCTGTCTAGTTATTCTAAGTGCTTCTACGCCAATGCGCCTGCCAACGTATTTTCTGGCAATCAGAGGTTTTATTCGGATATGCATGATAACACAGCATACTAAACTTGCAGCACAATCACTGCGAATAGTTTACAAACCATTCTGACAGCTAATGCCCGATTACTGATCGAAACAACCACCTCCTTTCAACTGCTCCAAAGTACTTTTAGCCTGCACCACGCAGACTTGACAATAAGCAACACAAAATGATAGCTACTTCTCGTTCACTACACAAACAACAAAGCTAACAATGCTGAAGTTTGGCCTTAGCAGTTGCACCTTATACAGGGCAAACGAGTGTCTCGAAGTCCGACGCTACGCAGCAAAATGTAGCCAGTCCTAATGCAGGCAAAAGACTACAACTACAGGCAACAGCACAGCCGTGACACAAAAAGCACGCCACTACATCACATTCACACACACACACACACACATAGATACACGCAGACACATGTAAATGCACACTCAGCCAAGAAACCCGTTTGCAGAAAAACCATGCACTAGCCCTCTTTATGACTAAGTGGCATATATTTATAGAGAGATATAGTAAGTAGTCGCCCCCTATCGCTATGCAAGCCGCAGGTGTCCAGAAAGGGCATTCAGCTCGGTCTGTGAGGAAATTTTATTATCTTTTGCTAGACACCATGAGAAAACGGTTAGGCACAAAATTATTTGTGATGTCTCAGATAAGCAGGCTCGAAATACCGAACCCTTTTGTTCTTAAAAAAATTATAGCCAGCAATCTACAGGACAGTGCAAAAACTTCAACTATGACAACATTTGAGAATCACCACACAGGCAGATTTGGGGATTGTATAGTTCCTTCCTCCAAAACTAACAGACAAACTGCAATAAATTTATGCAAATGCAAAGTAAATTTAGATAAAATGCAATAACTTTATACAAATGCAAAGTAAATTTTATGTTCCAATTGAATTTGACATAAATAGTAACTTAGCCAAATAATTTTTATTCGAATTCAAATAGTAAATGTCAAATATTATAAAAAATGTGAGCATATTTGTTTCGACTCAACTAACCTACACAGTACATGTGAAAACTGAAACGAGGCATATGCAAGTGTGATTATATTTCGTTGATGGAGAAGTCAAAACAACTTTGAATAGCAGCAGGATTTGACTTTCAGTAGAATGCAAGTACTAACCAATGTATGTTACATTTTAAATTTTACTATAGTAAGAGCATATTAGCCGGTATAACCAGCTTTCAAAGTTTAAAAATCATCAATTGATGTGAGGATAATACGTTCATTTAACCTTAGAGTGGGGCACTGTAGCTGTGCAGGTTTTCCCCTGATAGGTGAATTCACGGTAGAGCATTCCTTCACTGCAGCAAAACCAGCTTTACAAAAAGTTACAGTGCAGTCTATATATGCTCATTTTCACTGTGCTTTAAAATCATGTTGAAGCAAATTTGAATACTGTAGTTCTCATTGAAATCATATAAGTTCCAGAATATTCATGCATGCCTAGATCATTTATTGACTGTTACATTACAATTAAAGCACAAGACCCATTAAAAAACTGAAAAGGAAAATTCCTTGCTGTAGGGTCTCCACTAGTGCGTTTTCTGCCACGTGCAGGTAAATAAAATAAAGTAAAATAAACCTTCATTGGTACATTTTTGTCTTAGATTAGGTTGAAATTCTCTTAACAAGAGTTTCAGGACTAAGAAGACTGTTTTATTAATAATTTTTTAACTAACAAGACTCGATTATCAATTTATATTGAGATTATACCGAAAGACAATCCACCAATCAAGAAAAAATGCAGCTGCTGCTTAAAATTTTCAAAACTAATAACAGCCACTATTTTTAGAAACACAAAAAATGTGCTGTCATATTAAGACAGTGATTGAAGTGAAGTGCTAAAAAAATCTAATTTCGATAGGAAACTATGCAGTGTCTAAAACTTGAAACATTACCAGCATATTCTATGAATGAATTAAAGTTATTTGCAGAATTTTAGATAACATAGAAGGTGTGAAATATTGCCATTTTTCTGGTCATACCAAGAACTGCTTTTTTATCTGTTCCAAGAACATTGCTTGGAAGTGAAATGAGTTAGATGTATAGCTCGGTCTGAAAGTTAAATTACATGAATGCGGCAATACGTGTCCAAACTCTGTTCGGCAAATAAAGGCTTCAACAAAGTTCAGTGTTTTTCAGGTTCCAAGCCCCAAAACTTCGAAAGCCACATGCGTCTTCCCAGTACTTTACCCTATCTAAAAAGCCAAAAATTGAGTGTACAGTTCCTTAAAAACACTAACAAAAGAAAAATATAGCAAGCAAGAAAAACATTACTTTCAAATTCGGATATATTACGCAGGCAGGCTAACAACAAAATGCAGGGCAGATCAGAGAACTCAACAACCATACATGCTCCATCTCATGCACTCATCTACGCATCGGCAAAACAAAAGTGCGCAGGCTACGGCAGTGAAGAAAAGAGTGATGCAGGGGGGCATAAAAGTGTGCACCAGAGAAAATGTTTTTTAATTACCCGGCTGATGACACGTGGCTATAGAAGGGGAGGTTTTCAAGGAAGAGAAAGAGGGAGAGAGGAAAAAAAAACAGAAGACGTCTTAGCTGGATTGTACAAACATCTCTCTCAAAATGTGCTCATAGTTAAGGTTCACCACAGCACAGACCTAACTCGCATATCGAGTGACGTCTCAACATTTGTAAAAATATGCCACTGCGTAGAAATCGTAGTGAGTTAACTGCCATGATATGCTCCACATGTGTTTGAAATAATTTCTTTATGCAGTTGCTTCTGAACAATAGAACTAAATGTTTTTCATCTCCACAGATATCCATGCTTGAGTATTTGAAGTTTAACACCATCAGAAAACCTTGAACGTACAAAAAAGTCAAGTAAAAAGTCAAAAAATTTGGTCAAGTGTAGATAGACGTGACGGTAATGTGGACATGTTCACTGTTTGTAAGCCACGAACTCCTGTGGATGAGCAACAGTAGTTCAAGATGATGTACGATAGTTCATAGCTAGTTTCTGCACACTGGCATAATTGCTACGTTTCGCGCGATTCATCAAATATATAGTATGGCACAGTAAATTCTCGCTAGGACCTCAAAGTCACTTTGTAGTAGAAGCTTATTTTTTCATAAATTTATGAAGTTTCAGTGAGTTTAACAGACCCTGTGTAAAAAAATGCAAAAAAGTTCTTTTCTGAAAGCAATCCGATTTCTATTGTAATAGTTAGAGAGGCCCTGCAGCAGTTTTTCGAGTAACCATGGAATGGATTCACCAAAGGAGCTCATTGCCTAATAATTCACCTCCACAAAAATTTTTAGAATCAGTCCAGTACAAGTGGAGTCAGAAAATTAGTCACACGGCGCTTTTGCATTCTCTCTTTTCTCGTCCCGATGAAAGAGCTCGCAACTAAAAAGGTGGGGATGGCACAGGGCAAGAAAATACATCGTGACACATTTTTTTCTTTCTCTATTTTTCCTGTGAATACACGGCTTTTCACTGTGATTGCCCGCACATACGAACAAGTTGTGGCCTCGAGCGGAGGCTCCAGTAGTGGCCGAGCACGCCATGCTCATCTCAATGATACAATGGCTGTTATGAGTGATTTTTGGGCTTGTAGCGTCATTTGTTAAGGGAAGAAACTGCAATTTTCAGCCGACTGTGAGAATTTATTCTAGATTCCAGGTTGTGCACTGCTTTATATTATTTGGTTCGCATGTTCTCGAGAGCCTTGACTTCTGATTGGCCGTGTTTTCTGACAGTGCTCAAAAGGTATTGCAGGGCCACTTTAATTTACTAAAATAACTACTTTGTTGAGCTAGTCAGTCGTGCATAATTGGCTAACATGTATTATCGTAATGTGCATTTTTGTGTTTAAGTACTTTTTTGCACTAATATGCCACAGCCAGTTATATTAGTGTACTGCATGAGACAACTATAGCAAGGTAGCAGAAAAAAAAAAAAAGAGATGAAATTGGGAAAAGTGCAATGTATGTACTGTTTATTTCTTATAAAAAACTTAAAACTGAAAGCAATAGCTAATCTGCACATTTTTCCTATGGAGCTCCCTTTCTCCATATCTTACGATCACTGTCTTGCACCATGGACAACCAATTTCAGAAAATCAAGATTTTGCAACTCGTTTGACGAGTGATGACGTACATAACATAAGAACATCCAATGAAGGTTTCACTGGCATGTTAATGTACATCTCCCTAAAAATATTTCACATTCATATTTATGGGAATCATGCGAGCCGGCTCATGGTCTAAAATATCTGCCATGAAAAGAGTATAGACTGATACTAGATGGTATGTTTATGTTTCCACGCCGCAACTAGAACTGTTCTGCTAGAAGATACCTGTTAGTAGCCTCTTCTTTTTTTCATTATAGAAATCGTTACTCTCTCCTTGCTTTTAATAGCGCTTAATAATGTTCCGGAACATGCGAAAGTAAATTGAAGTTGATAAACTATAGTTACACTACCGGCTCTCTCTCAGTACTTATGTTCAAATAGACCCAGGCATGAAACAGGTTTGTTCACAATGAATCCAAAACTGTTGCTCAGATAAACAATTGCAAGTAGTACTTGCATGTTGTCACCTGCTGAGTTGCTCACATACAAGTTTGTTAAGCCAAGAGTCTGGCAAACTGTCAGTAATTATCTACTTGTCTGAGAAAAAGTTACAATAACAGGCTTTATACAGCATTTGAGACATTACACAGACGTAAGAACAAACTAAATCGCTGCGAGTAACTGATCACACATGTGCGGAAGAATGAGTAAGGTGTGATGACATTAAAAGCAATAGTGCTGAAGCATCGCGCAACATTTCATGCTCTGCAATGTGCGAGAGGTTGCGTGGTGTTAGCAGCTAGTGTAAAAAATATCACTGCAATGCAATATTCAAAGGCTATGTGTGAACTGAAGATAATGCAGATAGAGTGAAGATTAAAGTCTTGTGTCACCCAATTTCGAAAAAAAAAAAAAAAGAGATTGAGGTCTTTTTCTGTTATCTTCGACACTGTAAAGCCTCGGCCTCTTACTTATCTCCTTGTAAATACTTTGCTTATACACACACTTCTGTGGCAGTTATATTTTCTTTGTTAGGCATATTAATATTTTCTTGCCAAGAAAATTTTCTCCCAGTGCTAAATTTCAGAAATAAGAAAAAAGAGATTCGGTTTATCAATTCTTAAATAATGTTTCTTCCACTACTGTGCGTTGAATATCGTGCCATGATTTCATTAAGCTGATATTATGAACTATGTGTATAAAACACAGGAGTGAAGCCCCCATTCTGAAAGAATTCGCTAGGAGCACCAGTATACACATCGGCGCTCAGTGTCATTTAAGTGTTTGTAAGTGTTAGGTGTTTACTGTCAGTGGCATAGGCTGCAGTGTCATTTGGCAAAATACCGTCAATGCTATCTGTATGGCCTGCCGCAGAAACGTAAACATTTCTTGCTGTTCTGTACATCATAGCTGGCTTAAAGACATGCATTCACCAGTGTGTCTATCCAGGAAAAAAAAAAAACAGCCCAAATGAAGTTTTGCAGGAGTGCCGCAACTTGAAAGAACGGCCTCAACTGCGCGTCGAAGTATGAGCGCGAGTCATGCAACAGAGTATCAGCCACCACCGAGTGCATCAATGACAGAAGCGTGGCGCGTACGACACGGTGACGTGACCGGCTGGCGTGACAAAAAAACAAGAGTGCACGTGACAGTGACGACGGCAGCAGCGGCTACGTGACACAGCGACAAGTGTGCAAGGGGGCTGCGCACGTGACTGGCCACAAATAACCAGAAAAAAAAAGTGCCCCCGATAACTCACCATAAAACCCTCTTCTTCCGGCCTTATCTCGGCACGCCGGTTCTGTGCTCGAAATTGGGGACAGGCTTCATCACATTCTAGTATGTCATTCTAACACTATATGGCAATGTGTACAAAGTTTGTTCCCAGACTTGAACAATACACTTGACCATGTGGTTCCAATTAGGTTTTGTCTCGTTGCCAGGTAACGACAATGTGAACGTTAATATTACATCAGTGACTGGTAAATGTTGAGGGGCAAAATTAAGACAGCACAGCTCAACAAATGCAGCATACGTGTCGTCACAGTTAAATCATAAATTAAACTGAAACTGGAAAAAAGAACGCTCAAATTTGTATGACTGCATGTTTTCAAAACAATTTAGCCAACTGCAATTGTATAAACAAACTGTAAAACAACAGTACGCCACGTCATCACTTGGGAGCATGCCATAGATGTTCTATGTGCATAGCAGTACAACGGCAGTGCATGGCACGTGATTGCAGTGGATGTTATATAGCAGTGTAACTAGTTACTAGGCAGCATGTGATAACAGTCAAAGCACTGGAACAAAAAGGTGGACAAACATAATCTTACTTTATCTTAAATTATGTGCAACATTCCCATTCTTTCAAAAGCACCGTGAATAACATTCGAAAATTCCTAGCACAGCTTTTTGGTATCTTGTAACAGTTGCAAACCGTTTGTACAATCTTTACCCTAAGAACATTGCAAGCATTGAAAAGTGTAGACAAGCTGTGAGAGTTAGTCTGTGAATGTTTATCAGCTCAAGCAGTGCCGTAACTAAGCAGTCCCAACAGCAGGCACAATCTTACTGAACATGTGTTGTTTCTCAAACCTCGACATAACGAACCCAGATATAACGAGTTATCGGTTATAATGAAGAAAGTGAAGTTTGGCTCTGTCATAGGCACAGTGCTACAAATATGTTTATCCCAAATTTTCAGATATAAAGTATTTTTGTGGCAAGTGTGATTTTGTTATAATGAGCTTTCAGTGAGTGTGCGTTATACGTAACATCACTTAAAGCAAATGACCTCAGGAGATTAATGTCATCTTTACTATGTCCTGTCACACGTCAAAAAACAAACATCACTCCAGAATGGTGACAATTACCATAGTCTCCTGTGTCATTAGCTCAGGTGGAAAAAAAAAACTAAGAGAAGTTACGTTTATCATGTGTGTATGTACCGTGAAAATGACTACTCCCAATAATAAATATTGTATTTAATATTATATACTTATCTTTTTTTCACAATTTTTTCACAATCTGTCACAGTTGAAAAACAGAAACTAAATTTTAAAAATGAGCCAAATAAAGCAACAATGTAAAAAAAAACACCAATGAATAAGCAATTATAGTAGATCAAGAAGCTATTTCAAATACCGAAGAAAAAGGGTGAGTCACTAGCACTCCTTTTAAAAAGTCCTTGGCTTCGAAACTATGTATGTTCAATTTTGAAAGGACTGAAGATGATTCCTACAAACTCATCAGACTGGAGACATTGTTTTCACGAAAGCTCATTTGTTGACATGTGACAGTAAACACATAACATCACGAACACATGTCATGCATTGTAAATGACGCTGTATTTGCCATGTGACAGTGGTATTGCTATGAAACTACCTCCTGCTTATGGGAAGGCTGTGGACTAAGTGACTCAGCATGAAAGGAGAGCTCTTTAAAATGATGCTGTTTTCATGCATGCTTCATTGTCAATGTGGATTCGTCTTGATGTATTTGCAAAGCCAGACGATGTTGTACATCGTATTATTATCACTCGGGTGCTGTAGTTCTCGTGCGTCATCTTATATTTCAATTTCGGCTACTTCAATAATAGCCGCTACCAAAAGCAATGTATGTGATGTAGACATCTTTGGGGAAACAACACAACAGAAAATGCCCTGGTGAATGTAAAAGATGCCTGAAGAACTAGCAATCAAAGAAAGCAGAGAGAGTTGCAGAAGACGTACCTTCCTCTCTCGCCTGTCTATACTTGCCACCTGACCTGTTGCGATCAGGAGCTTGTTTGGGTGAACTGCAAGGCTAGAAAACTGAAGGACCAAAACTAATCTAAATCCATGCAACAGACTTAAATGAACAAATGGTTCGTGATGACAACCCCCCAAAAAGCCCTTCAGAGTTGCACGCACATGACCACGAGTGAACTGCACTATAAAATTCAGAACATACTCGAATAAAAGAAACAAACAAAAGAAATTGCCGGCGCGAAAATTCTTTCACCTCGCATTTGAAGAGTCCCAGAGTTGCATACATCTGCAGAGTCAAATGTGTGGTGTTACAGCTGCAGTATTGCGCCTGCAATGTTATAACCAGCAGCGTTGCACTTCAGTTGCTGACTTGCATTTATGGAGTTCAAAATACATAACTTTCGCGCAAAGTTTGGACCAACAAGCAATTTATGGCCCCTTTTCAACTTCAAGACACTTTCCCGCAAGCCACTAATGTGCTCTGGCGATGGGAAATGGTGACTGAGACGAGAGTGTCTACTTCCGGGAGCGCTGTGGATGCGGTGTTGCCCTGCCGATGCACAGCAGGATCCCTCCGTTCTCGGCATCTCCGCCGGAAAGTTACTTATACATGACAGAGCAACAGTCATTCCGTTTTTAAAGACGACAGTCTTTCTTGGGCAACTTCGACGCAAAAATTTTGGTCTGTCTGTCTGTCTGTACATTTGTCTATTAATCCACCCTTAACGGTGCCCTAAACGGCACCAAAGTGACCAAACGATACTCCAAACGGCTGACTCCATCCGCAGCGCCCACCAATATTGCCCAAGGTTCAGCGTTCATAATTGTGCGATTGTCAATTAAAAAGCAATTATTGCACATATCTGATGCACCATAACAACAAGTCAATATTTTGTATGTATTTTTTACTAGAAAAGGCATACATAAGTAACTTTAAGGATCATAGCCTTTATAACGCTGCGCTCGCCATGCAACGCTTGCGCAAAACGGCAAGTGTTGCCAACGCTTTGCTAAGACGACACGGTGGTGGCACCTACCCTTCGCCTTTCGTTGAACGCATTATCAACTAGGAGACGGGCGCGCACGGCGCACGCCGTTTTCCAGGATAACTGCCAGATAGCACTCATGTCTCACGTGTGACATGATGCACTCGTTCCTCTCCGCTGCACGCTCGAGGTACTCTAACGCAGCGCCTCCTAAATGCCATTCACCGATTTTCTTGCGCAGAACATTAAATAAACGTTTTGTTCACTCTCTCCAGATTCAAGACTATCGTCTTTCGACATTTGCGGTGTAACATGCAGATACGGGGCCAATTTTTTTGTTTTGTTTTGTTTGGTCTTTTTTCCTTTTTTTTCTCCCTCAGTCAGTATGTGATTGTTGCTGTGTGCAGCTTGGCATCTGACCATCTTGCAGACAGCCCATTGGCCTTATTTGCTACTGTTGCTTAGATAAAAATACAAATGTTGTGCTATAAGCAGAAAAGGCAGCAGATTGCACTCCACAAACATGAAGCAAGAATTTTCGATAGACCAAATTTTTTCTGTAGGGCAATTTTAATTGAGCAGCTTTAAAATACATTGAAAATGTAGCGGACCAACCAGAAATTTAAGATTCGTCAGAATTAACTTAAACTTTGATTTGTCAAAAGTCTATTGTATACTGATTGATAGATGCATAGTATTAAAATACCCAAGCACTTGTACCTAGAAGCTCTTTAAAGAAACCAATATGATCAAAATTTTTTGAGAGACCTCCATTAAACTGCATTTTATCAGCTTCACCCGGTAGTTGTGCCTGTGCTTGATGGCTTTCTTGCAAAATTCTTTGATTGTGTAATCAAGCTATCAAAACACCAGGTTTTCACTGATTCTTTGTCCTAGTACAGGCGGAAGGTCATGTAGCACAAGTAGGCAATCCAAACCAGCACACCGCATCATCTTTTCACCACATGCTCACCACTTGATGTCGTCTGTGTGTCCCAGGTAGTGCCGCTGAATCTGCTCCTCGACGTTGTAGAGGACCACAACGGCCGCTATGAAGTACACCATCTCTCCCGTGGGCAGGAGGAACAGGTTGGCCCGACAATCGCGGCCTCGATAGCCGTAGCTGGTCTCGAGTCAAGGATACCACGAATGCAGAGAAATGGTGAGAAACGCCCTAGTGGCGGCGAAAACACTTGTGCCTGATTCTATGATTCTTTTCTGCCTTCGATTCTCCACGAAGCCCTTAATTTTTCACAGCACTTGGCAACGCTTGTATTGCGTTCGTGACATGCTCCCATCTAGCAAACTGTTGTCAAAGGTATAGGTTTTGAGCTAACTTTTTTGGCTTACCACCCGTTGCCAACCACCCGTTGCCAATAGAAGCAAGTCATCGTGCGGGATGCCATTGCGGAGGTCTGTTCACATGCGCCTTTGAAGTTGTACATGCATCGGTGTACAAAAGGTGCTCCAGAGGTCTCTAGTCATCCAAGTCATCGTACGGATCTCAAACACAGAGCGTGCAGCAAGTGTATTGCACAAAAAGTGAGTGCACGGACCTTCAACATGGCGACCCCGCTGCTGGCCCTCTTCACGGATGACGTCAAGCCTTACTTTGTAAACCAATACAATTTGTGCATATTGCATGCCTTCATTGCTAAGAGCTTAAGCAAAACTAACAAATGGTATTGGTATATGAAGTAAAACCAGAAGCCCCTTTCAACGCAATCTTGCGTAATTCAACAGAACGCTGATTGAAGGCGATATGGCCACTCTAGACGCCAAAGCAGTTTTCGTGCGGTCAGTTCTATAAATGCGAAGTAAATGTTGAGAGCAAATTAAGTTTACGAGAAATCTAATGATGCCTCGAGATAGCGTGCACCAGCTACTGCGCCCTTTGACTGACACTGCCTTTCTTCCCCCTCTCATCCTGTCTCCTCCCCTCAGAACGAAACAATAATTCCAATACCATTTTTTTTTTCACTATCAACTATTGACCCGAGAAAGAGAGGGGTGGATGTGTAACATGGCGTAGCCGCTTCACAGTAAGCCTTCGGACACCAGGACATATAAGGACAATCAGAGATGAGTTTGCATCACACAGCTGGGCATATTAAAACAGAATTGGGGTGTCTCCAACCTAGAAGCAGACATTTATTAATGAGATGACATTTTTAAAAAAGCAAGCGAAAAGTTCCTATTGGGGCCCCAGCATTCACAAGCTCGAAAGGGCAGGGACATTAAGAAACATTTATCGGAGCAGCGATTAAAAGCACACATGCGCTGGTGAGAGGAATTATGAAAAAAAGAATTGGGGTGTCTCCAACCTAGAAGCAGACATTTATTAATGAGATGACATTTTTAAAAAAGCAAGCAAAAAGTTCCGATTGGGGCCCCAGCATTCACAAGCTCGAAAGGGCAGGGACATTTAGAAACATTTATCGGAGCAGCGATTAAAAGCACACATGTTCTGGTGAAAGGAATTATGAAAAAAACTCTTCTGGATGAAGATTCATGAATAAAGTATAGTCGAAGAAAAGTGTCAATTCCACCGTTCACGTGCTTTTCTTGCACGCAAAGCACGAAAAATTCTATACTGTTTCTTATATCTATTCTTGGTTCCCACATTTCATTCCGCTATTTCCAGAAATAGATGTGACAGACATTCTGGTGTAGTAGTGAAAATTGCTTGAATTTATTATATATACGAGTAGTGCGACTTTTAAAACAAGCTATCAGGAGTGTTTCTGGAATGAACAGCGTCTACCGATAAATCACCGCCACACTTACACGCATGTGCGGAGAGCACGTTTTGCTATCAAGCCGAATTACACAATAGAAGCTGCATCGGCACCGTGCATAAAAACGTGGAGTATATGGGATGCATGCGCAACCGCTGTTTATTGAGCGGAATGATTCTTGCTATACGTGGTTGGAATTTCGGCAGCCACGAAAACAAGCTGTACATGCCTTGACGGGCTGGCATGGCTAATGATGGTGATAGACGCTCCCAAACCCGAGACATTGGCGGAGTTCGGCGCAATTTACGTTGATATTGTTACAAATAAATATAGCACCTGGTACTATATAAACTCTTTATTTAGGGCGAACTTGTGCCCGTAAACTCAAAACTAAAAATAAACAGCCAAAAATGTCTCTTGCTCGCTGACTACAACTTCGTCGGTCTCTTCCTCTGCCCCTCGAGTCTCGTGCCGGTCCCATGGCGTATCATCTTGGCGCGTGCAGGACAGCGTTCCATGGCGCGGCTTTCTTGCTACTTGCTTGACGGCTTTTACGAACGCGAATTGTGGTACGCGTCTTCTGCGATGGTCGAGCTGTGGCATTAGTCCCCCTCCTAGCACGCATCGCCCCGATGCGTAGAACCGGCTGACAGTTTCTAAACAATAGGACTTGTCCTTGTGTTAGACGACGTGAGTCATTTCACTTGTTCAGTTCCTCTCGTAGTACGGTTTCATACGTACTACATGTACAACTTCCGGGAGATTCCTGCGTCGTGTTGTGCATACTTGACCTTCAGGGATCACTTCGTAGTTTAATGGGCCTAGCTGACGAAGAACCCTGTAAGGGCCAAAATAGCGCCGCATAAGCTTTTCTGATAGGCCACGTGCACGTACAGGCGTCCAGACCCACACTTGGTCTCCAGGGGAGTATTGAACGTCCCTTCGTCTTAGATTGTAACGGTGCGCGTCGACGTCCTGCTGTTGAATGATGCAGTTCCGTGATGCAGTTCCGTAGCTGAATAATTATACTCAGCTTTCGACAGAGTGCGGCTTGCATAAGCAATAACTTTTTCTTCCCCGTTTTGCCATTGAACAAGAATAGCACCGAGGCCAACGTTGCTAGCGTCCGTATGAATGTCTGTTTTGGCATCTTCGTCAAAATGAGCGAGTATGGGAGGTGACTGCAAACGGCGTCGTAACTCAGAGAAGGCGTCTTCTTGCTCTTGGTGCCAGATGAATGCCACACCTTCCTTCGTAAGCCGTGTCAGTGGTTCCGCAATCTTGGAGAAATTTTCAACGAAGCACCTATAGTAGGCACAAAGCCCCAGGAAACGTCGCATAGCTTTCTTGTCTCTTGGCCTTGGGAAATTTTCAACCGCAGTGATCTTATCCGGATCTGGGCGGACACTGTGAGAACTGACAATGTGCCCGAGGAACCGAAGCTCCCGGAACCCAAAGTGGCACTTTTCGGGTTTGATCGTAAGTGCAGCCATACGAATAGCGTCCAGTACCGTTCACAATCTCTGTAAGCGCTGCTCGAACGTAGTGGACAAAATTACTACGTCATCCAGATAGACAAGACATGACTGCCATTTGAGGCCGGAGAGCACAGTGTCCATCATCCTCTCGAAGGTAGCGGGAGCAGAACACAAACCAAATGGAAGTACTTTGAACTCGTAGGGTCCGTCGGGTGTCAAAAACGCCATCTTTTCACGATCTCGTTCGTCGACTTCTATTTGCCAGTACCCGCTCTTTAGATCCAACGATGAAAAAAAGTGAGCATTGCGCAGTTTATCCAACGTATCGTCGACTCGTGGGAGTGGGTACACGTCTCGCTTCGTGACGAGGTTGAGTTTTCTGTAATCAACACAGAACCACATTTCTTCACCAGTACTACCGGCGATGCCCATGGGCTTTTGGAGGGCTGTATGACATCGTCATCGAGCATCTCCTGTACTTGCTTCTTTATCGCCTCCCTTTCTTTTGGAGCTACTCGGTATGGATGCTGACATACTGGTCTAACATGCCCTTCGATTACAATGCCGTGCTTTGCTACAGGCGTACGTCCGACTTTCGAAGAAGAAAAACACTCTGCGAATTCCTTGATCAACTCCACAATCTGGTCTTTCTGCAGAGATGAAAGCTATCGGTCAATATCTATTTTCTTGAGGACCCTGTCCACTGTTGAGGGCGTTGTAGGTACTTTTTCTATGGTGCAAACATCTGAGACTTGTACGTAGTCATGAAGTTATGCTATGGCTGCTCCCTTCGCCACACGCTGTACCTCGTTGGTAAAGTTAGTCAATAGCACATCAGTATATCTGTTCCGCAGGTTCACTAGACCTCTCGCCATGCGTATCCCCTTTGTGAGCAGCAGTTCGATATTTCCATCAGCTAGTCCGGCATATTCAAGAAAAACGTCGCTTTTCACAGAAACTATCACGCTGCTACGTGGCGGCACTGTCACACCTTCATCCACAATACGAAGAGACGAAACAATTAGTTGCTCCACATGACACACGGCAACAGCGTTCTCTATAGAGAAAGAAACTTGGGATTTCTGCAAGTCGATGATGGCACTGTTTGCTTGCAGAAAGTCCATGCCCAGAATTGCCTCACGGGAACATTCAGGGAGAACAATAAAACTGCAGACATACACATGGCCTCTTATTCCCACTCTCGCTGTGCACAATCCTACGGGGCTGACTAAATGCCCGCCGGCGGTGCGTGTCTGCGGTCTGGTCCAATGAGTGAGCACTTTCTTCCGCTTCTTTGCGAGCATGCTACTTATTACTGAGTAGTCTGCACCTGTGTCTATTAACGCTATGGTTTCGACGTCGTCTATTCTGACTTGTAGCTCGGATGTCACGTCACCATTACTGCGCTTGTCCGTCATTGTGTCAGTGTCGTCGTCCGATCCGGTTAGCGATGGAGGGTTTTCAGTTTTCCGAAAATCAGCGGCCCTGCCTAAACAGGTCGCTGGTTCTAGTTTCCCGTTGCGGGCTTGGTGAACGACGCCTCGGGAAAGTAGATGATGGGTGTGGACTCGGCGACCTATTGCGCATTGGTGCAATCGACCGCGATTCATGTCGCTGAGTGTTTGCATAGGCATAGCGCGAAGATAAATATTCTTCAATTTCGTAAGGGCGCTCACCGTTACGAGGGCAGGGTGCATTCACTGGGAAGCCACGTAGCCCGACCCGACGGTAGTGGCATGTCCGATAAAGATGACCTGCCTCCCCACAGTGGTAGCAGAGGGGCCGCCGGTCTGCCGTGCGCCATGCATCACTTTTGCGGGGTCTCGCTTCTGGCATCGGCGGTGGCGTACTGCGAGGAAAGGTCGGTGGCATAACGGGAACTTGTGCAAAGCTCGGGCGTCTCATGTCTTGCCGTACAACTTGCGCGTACGACAGCTGTGGCAGAGGTTCCGGTTGCGCGTGGTGTGGCACCTGAGGCTGCGGTTGAATAATTGCTTGCCGCACATCTTCAGGTACAACGTCCGCGATTAAGGGCATTGCTGGAGGACTTTGGGGGAGTTGCAGTTTCTGGAGCTCCTCCTTAACAATAGCCCTCACCATTTCCCGGAGGACGTCAACGTTGGTGGGGAGGGTTGTTGACTCCGCCCTGACTGAAGAGACGCTGAAGTCTCTGTTGTACAGTCGCGCACGTTGTTGTAGTGTCCTTTCCATGGTCGTTGCTTCGGACCGGAGCTCCGCCACAGTTCGCGGTGGATTATGCACCAGGCCTGCAAAAATTTTTCCCTTTACTCCGCGCATTAGGTGCCGCAACTTCTTCTTCTCGGCCATGTTTTGGTCGGCTCGGCGAAAGAGCCGTGACATGTCTTCTATGTACATGGCCACACTCTCATTATTCCCTTGGTTCCTCGCCTGAAGAGCAGCCTCTGCCTTCTCTTTGCGGTCCGTGTTCGGATAGGTTGCGATTAGCTCTCGTCGGAAGTCGTCCCACGACAGCAAGGACGCTTCGTGGTTCTCAAACCACGTACGTGCCGAATCTTGCAGGGCGACGTAAACGTAACGAAGTTTTCAGGCTTCGTCCCAACCATTCAAACGTGCAACGCGCTCGAAGCCTTCAAGCCAGTCCTCGGCGTCTTCAAAGGTCTCACCGTGGAAGACCTCTGGTGTACGTGGCGAATCCACGATGAGGTGAGATGGAGATGGCATCGACTGGGTGGCCATTGCAGTGACGCTTGTGCTTGAGCTCTCGACAGGTCTTGATGAGTCAATTAGGGGGCCAAACTCGCCCTGCTCACCACGTAGTCGGCGACTCGTGCGTTGGTGCACAGGTGTCAATTCTGCTGGCTCCAATCTTCTGGGATCTGGGCTTCTCTCCCTTGCCTGTGGTGGGCTTGGAATCATACCCAGCACCTCCACCAGATTGTTACGAATAAATATAGCACCTGGTACTATATAAACTCTTTATTTAGGGCGAACTTGTGCCCGTAAACTCAAAACTAAAAATGGTCAGCCAAAAATGTCTCTTGCTCGCTGACTACAACTTCGTCGGTCTCTTCCTCTGCCCCTCGAGTCTCGTGCCGGTCCCATGGCGTAGCATCTTGGCGCGTGCAGGACGACGTTCCATGGCGCGGCTTTCTTGCTACTTGCTTGACGGCTTTTAAGAACGCGAATTGTGGTACGCGTCTTCTGCGATGGTCGAGCTGTGGCAATATTATCAAGACGGTGCAGTAAATTTCAATTGGCGCACTATGCTGCAGTTGATGCAGGAGTGGAATCACTGCGTAGTGCTAATTTTCAGCCAAGGAAGTGCTTATTTTGAAATAAGATACCGTTTGTCTGGTCTGCATCGCGTTAGCGCACTTCAAATCTTCTGTCTGAAAGCGGTTCATCTCAGGTCAATGTTGCCGTGTCCAACATTGCCCGCCTTTACTACGCGGACCGTGACACTACTAGCAGCAGAGTGAAAGCACCGGGACACACAGCAGCAACAACGGCCACTAAACAATTTTCTGCTTGCTTGGTTCAACTGGGTCTCAAAAGATGGCACCACCTATCCAGCCTAACCAGACAAAAATGTAGTTTTTAAACAACTCACGCCATTCCCCGTAGTAATTCCAGGCGGATCGTTTTTCCATAAATCAAACAGAAACGAACAAGCAGCGTTTTATTACACCTCTTGATGAATGGGAGGTTCTTTCTTTACTGCAGCTAGTTTGGTTACTAGTGATTAGTTTTAGGCGTACACTCTCACGTCCTTGAGATCCTTTTGCAAATGTCCCACTCATGGTGCACGTAGTGTGATACACATAACCTAATTTCTTGGTAAGTAAGGTACTGCTCTTGATATTATTGCCGTTTTAGACGTCATGCATTGAGCTTTCCCTCTGACATCAATTGTTCTTTGTCTTTAGAGTCCCTTTAATGCTCTGTGATGCGACAGCCTCATTCGAAGACGACACTTAAATTCTGGCAAAAAAGAGACCACAAACACTAAGTTAATAATAAACGAAGCGTTCTCTAGTTCCCTTTCTTTTGCGTCTCTTTCGTTCAAAATGTTTTACTTTACAGAATCGCTTTGGTGAAGGCAGTGCCATGTTTAATCAGACATAAGTCACTAGGCCCTTTGACAGGAATATTATTTTTTTGTTTATCTTTTAGGAGTGCTTGCTGCCAGCACATAATTATCGTATGTGATTTGAGTGGGTTGTTGAAATTGGTTTAGTAAAAAATATAGCATGACTTGCTGTAGAATAACAAATTATCATTTACGGTGTAGTCACAATAAAGTGCTGTAACATACTACAAGCTATTCTGATGCTTCCCTTGGTTTAAACTTGGTTTCCAGAACCTTAGCATCAAATCATGTAAATTTCGTGCATTTGTAGATGTAGATGGTCAATCATAATGCGTGTCACAAAGGAATGAGGGCAATGAAGCAAAACTCTGGTATTCCCAGTCCTGCCTCCCATGCGCCCCATTTTTTAAACTATAGTTAGAGTGCAAACACAATGCACATTCACAAACGCACACACCCAGGCATCAAACACAAGTGTGCGTGTGTGAATAAGCCATGTGCTTGCATTCTAAATATATTTTTAAGGATGTGGAAGTAACAAGACCAACAAAAAATTCTTTCACCGTGTACCCCAGATGCCAATGCTCTTTGGCACATTGACTACTGAGTAGCCGCACCTTGCTAGACAAGTTTGCCAAAATGTAAATGACTGAAATGTGGAACAGAGTTGACTTACGGAAAAGTTAAGTGAGAAGGAGGAACTGAACGCCAAGACAGAATAAATTTAATTCCCAGAATTTCCAATCGCAGTCAGCATCTGTCCATGTGGTCTTCACATATCCACTAATTTTTCATCCTAATAAATTACAACATCAACATTTTTGTGTCTTCAAAAATACAACATAGGTGACCGGAAACGGCAAGCACCAAACCATCATTGCAACAAAAACACAAATTAAGTTTCGACCTCCCTACAGGAGCCTAGTTCGCAAAGTTCACAAAGTTTCTTTGTGAACAAGTTCCCCAGCACAGGTCCAGAGCTTCATTTATGGCTTTGTTTCAACAACAGTTCGGCGCTTGCTGTTTTCCGCCATCGATTTTCTCGACCAGACGGGTTTGCCTCGAACACTGGGCTTCAAGTACAACATACATACATGACTTGACTTCACAAAAGATCAAATCAAAAGCTGCAATGCAAACCAATTCACACCGGTACATCTTCCCATCAAAAAACCCTCAACGAAGGATACACCCACTCCAGCTTGAGCCTCTGTGATGGTGCACTGTTGACCTTCATAAGGCTATAGTCGTGAAGTTGCTCGCTCGGAATGTGCATCACAATGGGTCGACCACGTAGGTACATTCGCACAGTCCCGTCCTCTGCATTGACACATTCCACACAATGGCGAGAGCGTACACCCAGTTCACTAAAAAACTATGACTCACTTCTTTTTTTTTAACATGAAGGGTTTTATATCGAGGTTCACCACGGATCCAAGTGGCGTTGAAAAAATATATACTAAGAGATTGCAAAAAAAAAAACTAGAAGGCAAAACTATGTTGCATGGAATTGTACCAGCAACCTCTTCATTCTCAGCACACAGCGCTCAGCACTACGCTATTGAGTGTACATTGTCCGAAATGCTAACGGCAAGCCATTTATATACACTGAACACCGTTTGGCAGTCCTCAGAGCTTCGAAACATTAGAGTTTTTGCTATCAGCGGCGAGATGGCGTTACGGCCTTGCGTAGGGCGCGCTCTAAAGGTCGTCGCTAGAGTTACTGTATATGCTACCCTTATGTAGCAGAGTTAGGCCACGGTTTTCCGGGTGCCCCTCGCTCCGCCTGCAGGAGTTCAGCACCCCTATTCGCCGAGCGCCATCACGTGGTCATAGGTGGTTTATTTGAACTGTGAAGAAGCCAACACTACGCAGACGACGCCAATGCTTCACAGATTCTGGGCAGACCAAGCGTGGTTGACATCGGCTGTTGTTGTTATTCTCGGCGTGCTTCTTCGGTACTAAGCCATTATTGCCTGTTGGTCGCGAGAAATGCGATAGCAAGTGCGTTCCGTGTTGAATTGTACTACATACAGCTCATATGATTAGACACAGGTGCAGCGGGTGTTACTATAAACAATTTAGTTTTCAGTGAGGAAGAAATAAACGCTTGGCTTCTCTTTATCTATCCACGGCATAGCAAAGCTTGCTCTATTTGTATTACCCACACATGCAATGAATACGTTATACATGTAGAGTCGGTCAGCATGTGTCGGCTGCATACGTTCAAATAGGTCTGACAGCTAAAACGCCAAAAATAAAGAGAGATTATAAACTAGAAGTATTCCAATCGGCAAGGTGTTTGTTGCAGCTAGCGCGTGAATTTAATGCAGCTTTCAAATCTTAAGCGAAAGGAATGTTGAACGCAACAGGGCTGTTGAACAAAAACACGCATCAGCTGTCGTGAGCTGCAAATGTAATACGATCATAATACGAGAGCCGTGTGTAGCATGGACGTCGTACGGCCACTCTCGATCGCTATCCAGCTCGATACACTTGAAGACTATAAAGCTAAAGTTGGCTTTCTCACAGAGCTAACGAATGAGCCCAGCGCGACGAAAAAATTTCATCCCTGACTGGCTCAATCGCGATCAAAACTGGAAAAATAATTTCATATCTGTAAATGGGAAAACAGCACAAGAGAAGACGAAGTTAATGTGTGACCAACTATAAATATATATCTGAGTGGTTGGCACATAATTTCATCATTACGTACCAAGAACGTAAGCATAAAATCAAGGCTTCTAGGCATGACCGGAGCAACTGAGTTTTTCTCAAACCTTCATAAAAAATAAAAAGAAAGTGAACAAAAATAAAGCAATGCTGGTACTCTGAAGCGCGAGCGCTGCTCTTATGCGGGTGGTAAGTGGCTTTCCCGCAAGACATTTGAACCCAAGATGGCGTACGTTGGCGCAACTCTGCTACCTAAAGGTAGCATATACAGAAACTCTAGTCGTTGCCTCTACGAAGCGCCGCCTCCACAGAGCGTAGTCTCTCCTGTGCACACTTCTTGGACTCATAATTCGGGTGAGGACGAAGATTACTTCGCATGCTGCCGCAGCTGCGTTTATAAAGGGAGCGCGGCACTGATACAGGACGCAGGAAGAACTGTGGTACTTGTTAGTCCGCACTCGTCCTGTGTATGCTAATTTCATGCGTGCTTTCTGTTTGCAGTGTGCGCTGAAAGTTTCGAGCTGTTTCCTGCGTTCTTAACGTGACTGTGATTTGTTGCTGTTGGTGAAAAAATGCACAAGAAACACTCAAGTACCACTGTAAAGACACGTTTCATTTTTGTGTTATGCTGATTCCTATATAGGAGGCTTAGCAACGCTTTTTTCTTTAATGCACTGCTAGGCAAACTGACAGCACTTATTTCGTTCTGTGTAAGCAGACAGTTTCATTGTGTACAGGCAAATAAGGAGAGAGAAAGATGTTATCCGATTGCAAACTGATTTGTAACTGACTTGGTGGTCAATGTGAAAAACAAACTTATTAATATAAAGTCTGTAAAAAGTGTTCGATCTTCTTTTATAAAGAAATGAAAACTCATCGATACTGACCATCTTTTGAAAAAAAGCTCTAAGAATGGTAGTCAGATATAAGTACCTAGGTTTAGTCTTTTCATCTGATTGCGCATGTAATGCACGCAAGTAAACAATGTGATTGGCAAAGCTGGAAGGATTCTAAACTTCATGGAAAGCAATTTAAAAACTTTGGAACCTAACCTTAAAAAAAAAAAAATAGCCTATTTACCACGTGTTCAACCTATACTAGAATAGTATGCCTGTGATATGAGAAATTCTTCAGGTGTTACATTGATTGACAAAATAGACAGAATTAAAAATCAGGCAGCAGCTAGGTTCGTTTTGGGATGTTGCAGGAAAGGGCAAGGTCTACACTCAAACGTAAACTGAAATTTAATGTAAACTGCCTTTCTCGCGTTGACAAAAACTGTGGCTGAAGTTTTCCTTTTTTTTTTCAAATTTTTCATGATTGATATGTGGGGTTTAACGTCGCGAAAGCACCATATGATTATGAGAGACGCCGTAGTGGAGGGCTCCGGAAATTTCAACCACCTTATGTTGCACCCAAATCTGAGCACACGGGCCTACAACATTTCCCCCTCCATCAGAAATTTTTCATGATAAAACAGGAATAAACAGAGTAGAATACTTTACAGTACCTAATAATCATCCACATAAAAGTGACCGTGTTTTGAAAATAAGGCAATTGTGTAATAGGACGAACCTATTCACAAAATCCTTTTTTATTTGAATTATTAAAGAAAGATACAACTTGTCTCAAATGCAAGTGTGCTGTAGAAATGAAGATTTCTCAATGCAATACTGCAATCCACCAGCTGTAGCAAGTCAATTTAGTTTATTACATATTTTGCATCTGGTTACATGGTGGGAATAGTACAGGAGGAGGTCGCAAAGTTTCAGAGAAACTGACGGGAAACCTCCTATGGCGACATGAATGGAGTATTTAAAAAGTACAGCATAAGGCGTGAATTTGTGAGCAATACTAATGCGCTTAATTAACAGTAACAATACAATTATACGTAACATGATGGTAATACTACAGATAAAATTAGACATGAAAATCATCAATAGCAGGGGATGAAACTAGAACAACGCAAATTAAAGAACTGTGCATGACAAATGCAACTAGTTTTATATAAGTTGCATAAGTTGTAAAAAGCAAGTGCTAATATAAAACTAACACTGATCTGTTGAAAGCTATGAGCAATTAATTACACAAATCAGATAATTCTATTATTTTCTGAAGAAAATGTTTTTGCTACGCGAGGTGAAAATATGAATGTTGTGTGAAGATTTTAATTCGAAGGGCAATGAATTTCATATTGCTATGCTTGTAAACAAGGTAGTGAACTTGCCGCAGTTTGTTCTTACGGCTGGTAAAAGACGATTATTGCTCTGGGAAAACCGGGTATTATTGCTGTTAGTTAAATAATGATGATCAATGCATGCAATGACAATATCATGCGTGATGAGCCTATAGGCTACTATAGACAATCTGCGGTGAAATAATTGTATTAATGATAGTATGTTAAGCTTTGGAAACAATGAGCTACAGGCTGAATAAAATGGACTAAAAGTAATTTGTCTAACCGTTTAATTCTGCAGTCACTGCAGTCGTTTCAATGTGCATGAAGTAAATGTTGGCCCAAGATGATACACAATATCAAATACAACTGTGAAGTTAGGCAAAATACAAAGAACGTATGATGTTAGGCAGAAAATACGTACGCATCTTGATAATAACATTGATTCCAAATGCGATTTTTCTAACGAGTGAAGCGCATGTTTATAAAATTTTAGTTCAGTATCCAAGATAACACTACGAAACCTTGCTTCAGTAGAAATGCTTATGACGTTATTGCCGATGTGAACAGAAGGTGGTATATCAAGTGAAATTCGCAGAGAATGAAACACCATAAAGACAGTTTCAGTTGCATTGATCAGCATCTGATTTCTCTGGCGCCATAGAGTTATGTAATGTAAATCTGTATTGAGCTCAGTCTGAAGCGTAGAAACCTTCAGGCAATGCAGGAAATTTTCACAATAAAAAAGAACATTTTTTATTTTTCACAATAAAAAGGAACATGCAAGGCACTCTTTTATTTTTAATAATACAGATTTTTCAGCTAATAAACAATATCTTGAATATTTTTATCGTTTTGTACAGCTCTCTTTTAATGTTGGAGTCCAGTCGCTTGGCCTTTCCCCATTGTGAGGTTGGAATAATATCAGGGAGTTGATGTATAGTACTTTCTTTCCAATTCAAGAATGATCAAAGTCGATGCGGAAACAATGTAGTGAAAAGCATTTGCATAAAGAGAAGCTAAAAATTTCGGCACAATAAGTGATGCAGGCTAATTACCTGTATTGAGCTGGGCTTCTCTTGTGCTGAAAAACAAAATTGCAAAAAAAAAGCATTCATTACGCATACTCAGCAAGATTGTTCAATGAAATGTGCCAGTAAACTTCTGTCCATTAGCCATGAGTGCTATCTGTTAACAATATCTACGCCCGCTTAACTGAGTAGCATTCTGACATAAATCTCAAAAGTAATATATAGATGATTACATTATGCTTGACGAGATTTCTTGCTAAACGATGCCCCAAAGGCAGACAAGATGTAAAACAAAATGTGTCAAAATAACAAAAAGTGTTAAAAACAAAGTTAGCTCACAAAAAGAACTGTCCCAAGAAAACAGAAACGAAATGTCCAGAGTTAGATTGAAAAGGCCCAATAACCACAAACATAGGCCTCTGTTATCAAACAACACAACAACAACAAAACTATCAAAATACCTAACCAGACACCTTGACCCCAACACATTGCAACAGAATCGCTCTTAAATTTTCCACTGCAAACATTCAATACATTAACTGCTTTTGCCAATCTAAGCCGCAAATAGGCCAAAGCTAAGAGCACAAATGTCTTTATGTTTAACACATTGCCTGCAATGAGATTGATTGTAGCATGTGACTTCATTACAGAAGTACTGACATGATTTCGAAGCATCGCAAAAAAGCCCATTAACTGTTCCTTCGGTGTGCAATATTAACACTCTCTGTACACTCAGAATATTGAGTGTTCGAATCGCATCCGAGTCACCGACTTGTGGGAGCAGGAGGCTTAACACATACAAATATTTATTAGCGAGGTAACAGAGCTGATGTCATGGCCATGAAGTCCGAGCTTCCCTGTCTTTTTTTCGTCTTTCGTGGACGTGAAGTGTAATGTCCGCTACACTGGAACCAGGGAACACGTAGACGATATTTTAGTTTGAACTTAATAAAGCTGTTTTTAGGTAATGCTTGTGCAATGCATTCGAAAAGCAGAGCTTAATAAATTACTGGACACAAACTGCATTTTTAGAGTTTCCTAGAGTTGAACAGCACATACGAAAAGGGACCACGCAAGGAACTTGTTTGTGCATTCAATTTCTTGCAATAACACAACTCACCCAGATAGCCATCCTACCAACTTTAGAGCATCTACTTTTAACAAAGTCACACAATAACGAGAGCCTACATTCGTGTATTTGCACAAACTGCACCAGTTGCAAACCGGCTGGGGTCAAAGTGACCTGGCGTGGTATAAATTCTAGACTACCACCACTACAACCACCACCAACTACTACCACCACCACGCGGGACGGTCCCCACATGCAAGACGCCTTGACAGATGCCAACCACGTAAAGATTGGTGCGAGTGTTTTGTGTAATAGAAGACAGAGCAACTATCAAAGAAGTACAAATTACTTCGTCCCCTAAAGTACCTCCCAACTCCAAATGTTAATTTTCTTGCTTCCCAGGAATGTGCACAAGACTCAAGAGAAGAAAAAAGAAATGAATACATGTGCAGCTTGTCCTTCTGCCATGCATAGCGCAACACATCTCATGAGCCTATGTCGAGTGCAGATGCATGCATGCAAATGCACATTCCTGACAGCATCCGTTTAACAAAATATGTAGTGCACTTTTTACGAAGCAGTCTTTTTAAAAAATGAAATAGAAAAAAAGAATGTGGCGAGTTGACAGAAAAACTATGCTTGGGCTCCCCCACAGTGATAACTGAGAACCCTATGACAGCTAACGAACTGTGCAACAGCACTGTATTGAGCAGTTCACAATAAATGCTTGACAGCACCAACCATAAATCACTCGGGTTTAATGCGTATCAATTTGCAAGCCTCCTTTTTGCACATCGCTGACCTGGCTAAGGTTTTCGACCATCTGAGCATGTGTTTCAGAGGCCCCAACAAGCGACGCTGAACAAAGCCAGTGTTGACCAACCGACCGACCAAAGCTCCAACTAATACGGTATCCCGTTGGACTATCCTCTCGACTTGTACACACCTGCCCCTCGACTCGACTATAGACACTCGCACCGGTCTCTACCTGAGCCCCTTCGAGGAGCCTTCGAGGACCGGTCCCACAGTCACCCTCATCTGCATGCAGTCATGCAGTCTTTCGTCAGTGTTTACCCATGTCTATAGAGAGTCCCCGAGGAAGACCGCATGGGCAGATTGTACATGGAACCACTTACAATGCGTCTACAAGGAGGAGATGGTGGAGGGGAGGGGGAGAAAAAAGAAAGTCAGCAGCAAGGGAAAAATAAACACACAACACACGTAACAAATGCACACAACGGAGAGAGCGTAATAAAAAGAACAATGCGTGTGCACAAGCGGGCGCTCGTGCCTGAGGAAGCCAGAGCTGTAAGCCATGCAGATGATGTTAAGCGAGAGAGAAAAAAACGGAGAGTACCGAGCAATGAGAGTTGATTTCACTTGTGCACTAGAACCCAAGCTGGCACATTTTACATCTGTTTCAAAATGTCCAAGCAAACTCGCAAAGTGTGCAATCCAAAAAAAATGCCCTATTGAAAAAAAATGCGTAGACACTCAAAACCTCATAATAACAAAGTTGCGTCTCCCAAAAAATTAGTTCATTATATCAAAGACTTCGTTATAAAGGTTATTAGCACTGTATTGCAAAACTATTTTTTTATTTACTTCATTATAATTGGTATTTCATTATATCCATGTTCATTATATCGAGGTTTAATTGTATATATTGCCATCTTGCATTATATAACAGCAGAAATCACCTCACAGTGCTTAATGGGCTCTGGAAATCTAACATTTTTTCAGCTTATAGGCCAACCATGGTTAAATTTCACACTGAATAAACCAATGAGCGTTACGTTAACATATGTAAAGAGGCGTAGTTTTCTCATTTCTTATGGAGGGAAATGACCCAGACACCTGTGCACACATACAACCATTTACAAATATTTTCGAAAAGGTACTAGGTTGGTAGCTATATTAATTTGCTGATTAAAAACCTAAGCTGGAAATCAAGCCCATGGTCGTAGTTTAGATGGCATTAAAATATAGCGCAGCAATGTTCAGACTACTGAAAAGCTTTGTGGGACTGGTGCTCGCAGGTGGCCCTAGTGCACAAATGTATAAATGGCGACAAACCAATGAATATGCCATCCTTTTTTTTTGCACTGTATTTGATTTCATTATAAAAAAAAAAGAAAAACACTTATGCAAAAGCCAATGCAGAGGCAATGTACAGAAGCCACCTTGCACAACGGCAACATAGATCCCTGACAGCGGCAGCTGTAAATTAATATATCTTCACAATAAAAATTTGCTGTACAAAACAAATTCCTACAGTTTTCAAAGTCATCCAATTTTAGCAACTTGCAACTCCTCCAATTGGAGGAATAATTACTCAAATTTAGAAAGTAGGGAGAGACCGTGCAAGAAAAAAGATGATCAAATAAAGATGTTCCATCTCCACACTACCTAACATAATGATGCCTTAAATTGAGCTGAATTCGTATGAATTTTACACATACAAAACGCTCTTCTTGAAAAGAATGCGATTTGAAACACACTTTTCTGCCGGGAGTGAATTGCAGAAAAGTGAAATGCACGTTTGTTCAGTTGCTTTAAATGTGCAATATTTTTTTTTAATGGCAGGTGGCCATAGCAAGCGAAAAAATTATTTGTGCTCGAGTGCGCATCACACCACATATTCCCTGGTGCCAAATGAAGAAAATATTTGTTTGCCTCTGCCAATCAAGTAATGAATATACTTTTGGTTGCTATAGCTCAATAGAAGCACCAACATTATGTTCAATGAAGGCACTACGATTCCGTGCGCTTGGGGTAGATGAGATGGAATCTTCGGTGCAACAGTGAGTCGCATATAGTCATCTCCCACACATATGCACGTACGTATATCCATTTGCACAAAAGATTAAATGTGAGGCTACAACTACTCGATTTATGAAGGTCATAGAGCCCCAAATATGCACTGTGGGCTATAAGGAATTCTGCAGTGTGGTCTACAGACCAACTCTAACCATCTAGGATTCCTCAGATTGCAGATGAACCTAAATATATATGTATGCACAACGGTGTGAGACAGCACCTGCTTAGAGTAATGTGCGCATGATGGCATGGTGTATGTATATGTGCTATCACCACCCAAAGCCTTAAATGTGGGGTAACCATAAGAAAAATTTTGTGTGCTGGCAAGTCATGAGAAGTGTAGCTGCACTGGTTTATCAATGCGCGATTTTCAAACTGCATGCTCAGCATAAGTGGAGCCATGTAAAATTAGAAGAATGGGACTAAGTTTGAGCAAATACAACTCATATTTGCAGTGCGAAATATAAACACTAGCAATTTTCCTGGTGCTTTCTAAATTTTACACTGACAGAGATCTCGTTAAAAAATAATTTAAAAAAACCTGATACATATACCACTCAGATTACGCAGCACTATAGAACACTCAATTTCTTCGTAGTTACTAATGTTTAAGAACTCTTGGCAGTGATAGCACATTTGTACAGAAGGTATAATTGAGCAAAGTTTAACGTCCTGCGAGAAAACGTGCAGTGCAACGACCAGCACATAAGCGGGTGCCAGGTGAAAAGCAAGAAGCGTTTCGTTCTTTGCTCTCTCAAACTCTTTGAAGCCAAGTGCAGCAGCGTAGGTGAGTGCCAGTCAACATGAAAAACCTTGTGGAGATTCGCACAGTCTGAAAAAATTTCGAAGAACTACACTGAAACCCCATTATGACAAAGTCACATCTGCCCCAAAAATACTTCGCTATACCTAGAAATTTGTTATAAATGATTATTAATAACACTGTATCTAGGACAAAGCTATTCTTTATTTACTTTGTTATAACCAATAATTCGTTATATTGAGGTTTGAGTGTAGAAGCAAATTTTTCTAGCACCACCAGCTAATCACTGTTTGATGGCACGATTTTTAGGAGGGCTAAATATGTAGGCATTTTTTTATTAATTGCTAATACACACAGAATTGCCTCATTTTCGACATTGCCAATGCTTATGGCAATATTATATTTTTCAACAGTCAAGTCTACAACAACATTATCACCATAACTAACACATTCTATATTTGTTAGCATCATGGTAGCCGTAATCTTAAGTATTTCGTAAGTAAGGTAATCAGCACACTCTCAAGATTAATCACGAATTGTGGCGATATACACACCGCGATGCAACAGTATCTTATGCATGTGTGGCCAACAGCACATATATGCTGCATGTATAGCTAAATGTGGATTTCGTCTAGTAAAAAGATGAGGCATATTTGTAAAAAAAATGAGATCACATACCAGATTCTCAGAGGTTCTTATAAAGTGCATACTGCAAGAAATGCATATGCTTGCCAATGTATTCAGACTGTGCAAAATTTAGAGGGCTGCAGCAGTGTTACTACCATATCACACAAGATCGGCACTGCATACTACTCACTACGCTGTTCAAAAACACAGTTGATGATGCATGGATAACAGGCAAGACATCAAACTATTTTTCAAGGCTTGAATAGAACCACTATAATAGCCAAATAAGAGCAAACATGCAGCCTGATTGAGTGTTGTTTGAAGACCGAAGGTAAAGTTAGTTTTTCTTTTTTTCATATAAATACAATACAACATGTTGCTAAGTTAAACACTGGACAGTCAAAGACACTGCCCAAGAAGGCAGTAAACTCGTTGCTGGAAAAACCCTGCAAAACAATAGGAGCCTAGAAGGTACAATATTTGCACAATTGTGGCCTGAAGTCCAAAGTTCAAGGGCCGAATTACAATAAAAATGAAACTAATGCTGGCAGCAAGGGGGAGCTACACGAGAAGCATGCATAATATGGTTCAGTTACGACATTAAGTTTCCTTTTCGGGTATGCTTGTAGCAGGTAGTTATTGCAAGCTTGTTCTGAAGAGAAAAACTTTTTTTGTCTTTTGCGATCATTACAAAGCTTTCCTTTGCCGACAAGAGTGTCGCAGCTGGTTCGAAGTGAGGCTTGTCAATGAACGATCAAGACTCCCATGAGAGCCTCCATGCCTTTTTTCGACAGTTGATCCCTGATGTGACTAAATTTCTATAATAAAATGCACTCACATTTTTTTTCCCCACTGTTTTACTACTTTTCGAATTGATCTACATACGAGACTGCTCACAATCATGTAAGTATGATACACGGCTCTGCCTTTCTTGCTACAAAGCTACAAACAAACCAACCAGGTTAAAAGTGTACGCTTTTGTGACTAACTGTTCCGGATGTCGATACACCAGCTGCTGAAATCTTGCGATTCCCTGGTTTTGGTTTTGAATGCTTTGGGCACACAGAGAACCGAGCTTTAAAATATTAAACAAAGCATGACCGTTAAGAGGTTTAACAGCACAGAATGACAAAGTAAATTGCTCAGAGCAAAAAACTTCCGAGGTGACACATGGCTCAAAAAATGCCAAACCAGGGTGGCTGGCAGTTTGCGAGGAGGCCGCCGTCGCTTGTACCTGTTTGCCGTGGCAAAGTCTTGGCTGCTGCAGCTACTGCTCCACCGCTTCATGGCGGACAGGTTGGAGGTGGAGGCCGAAATATGGCGATTCGGAGAGGGCGTTTGCCGTGGAGACGGGGAACTACGGTACGACGAGGGCGCAGGAGATGGGACAGGCGATGCCGACGTCGAGCTCTGGCCACCCTCACTAGGGGGAGGCAGGGAAGGAAGGAAAGAAAGCAATTAACGATAAGTATTTAGTTTGTAAAACATACTAAACTAATAGAGTACGGACTCAAAACAGCCCTACGCCTAATGTTACTATTTTTGAGAACAGATACAACAGGTCCCTAAAATACCCGCTATTTACGACCCACAACCTTTGAATATTCAAAGTCTGTCGGTTCAGATCCCACCAACGGTAAGCGTGACTGTTCCTCCATTTTCATTCGCATCAATGTAGTTTTTTTAACTGTCTCCTCGATTCGTTTGGATCTGTAAAACACATAACGAAATCCCATGGGGAAATCCTTCTTTCGTTCACACAAAAGTTTGGTATCAGGTGCAAATTTCGCATAACACAATCTTAATAGAAACTCCATGCATCAGTGCACGCTGCTTACCGTCTTTTCGCTGAGCTGTATAAAAGTAATGCAGAGAAACAGAAAACACAAGGGCATTGCACTGAGTGAGACTATGCACAGGGGGCACAAGACAACGCACTGAGTCTCAACTGTCGAATGTAAATGGACGTAAGCTTGTCACACAGTGAAGTTGATGAAAAGAGATTAGAGACACTAAAAACCACGCTTTTTGGGTCAACAATTATGGCCGAACAAAGCACGGTACGAAATAGAGTTACGAGCTTAGTTCACCAAAGCACACGAGTGCATGGCTGTTCTCTCAGAAATCGATGACAAAAAATGAAAATAAGAACAGGCTAGACCACTGCTTTATCGTGCCATCTTTCATTACTTGTTACAGTGCCCACTACTTCGTCATGTTTCATGCTAAAAAAGCCCTAAAAGAAGTTTTAAAGATGACGTAACTGATATAGTTAGAAATTAATTTAGACAACCCAAGATTCTTTAGTACAGTTAAACCCCTTTATGTGAGGCACGCTTCGAGCAGCAATTCTTGTCTTTTATATAAGATGTCTCTTATAAGCAGGAGACCTCGTATGCATTTCCCTATCACCCTATATCTTACTTGTCGGCGCACTGGCATCTCTTATACCCAAATGTCTCTTATATTAGTGTCTCTTATAAAGGGGTTCGACTGTAGCGGTTTACAGCCTGGCACGCGCAAGTGTTCGTGCATTCAGCTTTCGTTAGAATGCAGCGGCTGTGGCTCGAAATCGAAACCGAGACCTTTACTTTCGGGAAAACAGTGCCACATATACTGAGCAACAATGGCAGGTATAGCAGCCCGCTCGAGAGCTAGACAAAGTATTTCCCACCCTTGAAAAACAACAGCTGTGAATAACACGTGAATTTCACTGCGATGTATAGATATCAGATCCACCGATGGGCCCAGCTATTTCTCCTAGAGCCAAACCAGTTTCTCTGGTAATAATAATGGCAGGGGTTTCACGTCCCGAAACGGCAATATGATTAAGAGACATGCCGTAATGGGAGACTACAGTTTTATTCCGACCACTCAGAGTTTCTTAACATGCACCCAAATTTAAGTAGGTGAATGTTAGTACACTTCAACACCAACTAAATGTGGCTGCTGAGATTGAGAACCCAACCTCAACTTTGAGCGCAGCGGCAAGACGCTTTGGCCCCCTACGCTACGACAGCATGTAGAAAGTTTCTCTACCACGAGCATAAATAGCACGATGAGCGAAACAGCTGATATGTACCTCTAAACGTCTGACGCTACCAATTTTTTTGCTTGAGGGAAATCCACAACCCGTTGATTGGTGTGTTCATACCAGAAGTTTATTGCAGAAACTCGGGAAAGGCCTTTTCGCTTCTGTGGATGTAGTCAGGCTTGGGGTGATGATATTTTTAAAGTCAGTGTTGCATTTGTCTACTGTGAGCCACTCTTTGTTTTTCATCGGTATCTGTGCTGTTCTCTTCGCTATGGTGAAGATAGTGATGACACAGAAACACACCTGTGAAGTGAGCTGGTAGAGGCGGTAGGAAAGTAGCTGAGTCGGCGCTGAGGTGCCACTCCCGGAGAAGTGTGCGTCGGGTGGTGGTTGCCATTGTGCGGTGTCACCCCGTCTGTGTATGACGACGTAGAACTGTTGCTCGCCTGTGCCAAAAAGAATACAGATCCAAATCGATGGTGCACTAGAAACCGTAGAGACCTGTATACATGTTCGCATATCTCTAGTTAGACTTACGGCGCAGCACAACAGCACCAAAATAATTCTGAATGGCAATGAATATTTAGAGAAAAGCCAATCAGCCACGGTAAAGTATAAATCACTGAATACACTCAAACCTCATTATAACATTGTTGCATCATACACGAAAATGACTTGTTCATATTAAAACATTTGTTATAAAAGTATATCCCTAACACTATAGCTATCGCAAAGCTATTCTTCCTTTACTTTGTTATAACCAATATTTCATTTTATCCAGGTTTATTATATCATGGTTTGAGTGTTCTAATATTATTCATTCATTCAGTATTATAGCACAATCATTAACAACATATATCGAATCAAAAGAGGTCGCGCGCTAAAAAGAACAAATCCATGAATGAACGAACGTTAATTATTTCTACTTTTGCATCACTTCATCCTTCTTCGCCTGCTGTCAACTGCCGGAAATGCAGCTGCATTTCTTCATCGAGTGAGGAAATGCAGGGAATTCAACTGATTTAACTTTCTGGTTTGCTACCCCTCATAAAGAAGAGTGGGGAAAGGGCTTTATATAAACAGAAAGCAGAAAGAAATAAACACACACATACACACTGCTAGGAAAGAGTTGCAGGTACCACTTGCCACGAAAAACACAAAGGCAGCAAGCATTTTCGCTGAATGATTGTGGTTAACTCACCTGTCTGTGAAACGTGTGGCGATTCTGGACGGCAGCTGGATGCTGAGGCAAGGACGGCGACACCTTCGTTGGCGTTGTGGCATGGCTGTTCGAATTCGTGATGACCGGAGCTGCAGGACCAGAGGAAAGAAATCGGGCAATGCCTAGGTTAATGGTGGAGAATGTGTATTCAGAGCCCTTAACCAGAAAGAGAAGCACCAGAACTGCGTAAACTTCTTCATCAGCAGCAGCAGAAGAAGCAGCCTGACTGCATCCACTGCAAGGCAAAGCTATTTCCCATTTTTTGCGGATTAACTTGTCATGGCAACATTGTTCCAGCAAACTTCCTTCATATCACCTGCCCAGCAAACTTTTTCTAACCTTTACCTGTTCGCCCTATCTAAGAATTCAGCATGTTATTCTCAATGACAGGCAGTTATATTACCTTCACGCTACATTCTCCGCCCGTGCCCATTCCTTCTTGATTTCAAATATGATATCCTTCACCCTGGCTTGTTCCCTAACCCACTCTGCTCTCTTCCTGCTTCCTAAGGTTACACCTATCATTTTCTTTTCCATTTCTCGCAGTGTTGTCTTCAATTTAGATTGAACCTTCTTTGTAAGCCTCCAGGTTTCTGCTCCATAGATAAGTACCGGTAAGATCCAGCTGTTACATACATTTGTCTTGAGGGATAGGGGTAAACTACCATTTACCATCTGAGAATGCCGGCCACTGCATACACTTGTGTTGCTCTGAAAACTTCAATGAAAATCATTTCTCTTGTTCTTTAGGAGCACTTCGTACACTAACCTCTCAGAGCAAGGAGTAGATAATAAGAGTCGAACCATGATATTATAATAAACACGAGTACAATAAATTACCAAACACAAGTAAATAGTTCTGAAGTGATGAGAAATCATTGAACAAGAAATGCTGTTACATGCAATGTTTAAACAAGTGGGCTTGCATTCATCAAGGTAGCAAAAGTACAGCTATCGAAACAGCTCCAGTGACATTACCTAATCATTGGTTACTCATGTACACAACAAAGTTAGAAAATGTCTTGCCATTATTACAAGCACAGCAGATAAATGTTGATCAGGAATACTATTGAACAAACTGAAGTTATTATGTGTTTTATACGACATTGTATGTAATGAAGTTTGGCTGCAGCAGTGCTTGAAAAATTAGCACTTTCACAATGCTCCGATAGGTAGCACTGCCGGGCAAAGGCATTTTATTGTCAGTCATGAAGATGTGCAACCACTATTATCGCTCCTCCATTACTACACACGACGTGTAGTTCAGATTAGTTAGAGTATAGAACTGTTGTCCCTGAACACGGTAGTGAATGAGATGCTCTGTATAATATTGGGTCAACATTAAGATTGAGTACCGATTAATTAGTGATCACAGTTTCACAGTTTTGCGAGTATGAATTGCTTACTCAGGCACCCTTTGCATGTTGTCAGAAACAGCGTGAAATTTCTTACAATGATGGAATGAAAGAGAAATCACAAGATGAGTGCATACTATCGCGTAAATCTATATTGGAGAAAGCACCCTTTCATTATAAAAAGCTTATGTTTCTTCATACCTCATAATATGCATGCATATGTAAATATAACTGTTTTCTCTGATTAAGTTGAGCGTTTCGGACACATGATCATAAATTTGCATGAGCACTTGCAAGCAATTCTTAAGTACATCTGATTTTTTTTCCTAATAAATTTCATGGTGATAGTTAGTGCTCATCCTACATTTTTCATCATTTTGTCCTTTAATAAATTTATGCTTTTGAGAACGTGAACGGTTACCAACTCCCTCAGATCAGCATCATTCATAAAAATAGAAGCGAGTTCGTATGCGTTCATCTTGTTTGAATGCCTGTCTGTGTTCCTTACTTCTTCGTCATCTCGTGCGCGCTGTTCAAACGAGATGAGTGCATCACTCAACTTGTGTACACCGCTGAGCCAGCATAACGTTCAACATGACAGAAGCAGCTATAAAGTTTACATCTAGTGAGGAGGCAATTACTACAACTTTGAAACTTTTGGTAGAGAGTACACTTCCAGCCATCAGTGACAAAAACTACATCACAGATTACGAGCGATAAACGAGAATGCGTTCCACTCAAAAAATAAACGAGAGCTTTTCGTAAGTGCGCCATGCTGAAAGATACATTACATAAGCTTGCTTTTCAATGAAACACTCAATTACATGATGCAACAGGCAAGCAAAGAAATTTCTTTTTGACAGCACCAAGCTGATTTTTCCCGTAATGCTCAGACAGGCAACACGCTATCGAAAATTCAATGAATAAGAAAATGCTTGCAATGATTATGCAGAATGCAGTCACAGCACACCAAAAATGAAAACATGTTATTGAACAAAGAAACAATACTGCCGACAGCACATTTCGCCAAAGCATTTAATTTTTGCTTGACGTGACAGCATGCAAGCAGTTTTTCCAAGCTGGCACAAGTATACTTACCATCTGCAAATTCCAGAACAGGGATTCCGATTGCAAGAACAGACAAAATGAGAAACTTTATTTTTGTTGACATTTGTGAATGGTAATGAACAATTTACTCTTAATGCTTCTAAGAATAAATGCACAAGTTATAGACATCAATTCTGCCTGAATATTCATAAATATTGAAGTCTGAGCGTTACTGAACTATTTTTAATCTAAATTTTCAGCAACCTTCAAGTGACTAAACAATAAATGCAATTTGTCGGCCAAACTAAATAATGCGCACAAATTTTAAAAAAATTTTAAACCAACAATCTCTTCTGCATTACGCAGGCAACTCAAAAAAGAATGCTTTGCACAAAACAGCCAGTTTTCTGCCTGTAAACATGTGCTGGCCTTTTAGTTCCTATAATAACTTTTCTCTTCTCTTTCTTTTTTACATATTTTTCCAGGAGACATCTTGTCTTAAGAGCATTCTGTGAACCCAACAGTTTTTAGGGCTTGACATTTCAAAACTATTATGCAATTACAAGGAACACAGTGATGGGTGATCTACTACTGGGTTCGATTTCAGCCACGTTGGGTTCTATAACATGCACCTAAATGTACGAGCATTGGTGCTCTTTGCATTCTGCTCCCATCAAAATGCTCCTGCCATGGCAAACACCAAACGACCATCTTTTAGCTTATCAATGAAGCAGCTTATAGCTGTTAAGCTTTGACAGAGGAGCGATGTCCCACGATAGAAAAGGCAGGTAAACTGAACATGGAACTCAAGAGACAGGTGCAAGTAATAGTGAGTTTTAGTACTGCATACATAGCATCCGTAAGTATGTCAGATACATAAAATGCCGTATTTTCCATATATTTTCGCACACAGCACTTCTGCTCAACATGCGCACAATGTGAAACTTAGGGTTTTACGGATGCAGTGCATCCGTAAATACTTGCTACACTTTTGAATTACAATGCTTAATTTGCTGAAGAGATGCACTAAGAAGGAGAGAACACATACAAGCGCTAACACAAAGCTCTTGTCTTTGTGTATCTTTTTTTCTTCTGGGTCTATTCGACTTCAATCTACTATTCTTCATCTCTGTTGACCCCTTAAAGGGCCCCTGAACAACCTTGGAAAGTTCTTTATCATTTCAAGTAAACACATGCATTGAGTTTGGAAGGACGTCAAAATGAATAATGTCGAATGCAGCAGCACTTTGAGTTGCGGGCACCAGAAATACAAGAAACAATTCTTTCCGCTCTCTCGGCCTTGGGGCATCCCCAGCACTGGCTGTGACATCCCAATTCACATCTGCTCGCGTAATCATCAAAGAGAACTTGTTTACCTGCTCGAAAGTACATACACTTGCCACTCTTCCTCGGTCAAGAACAGAGCTTAGCAAAGAAAAAAATGAAATGATCGGGGATACTTTCAAATCATCAAATTCAGGTAGCTGTTTCACTGCATCATCACCATGAAAATTCTCGCAACAGCATGTTTATTGAAAAGTGGTGCTCAACTGTGATACCGCCACTAAATTTCTACCTCTGGATAGTTCAGGAGCATTCTAATGCTTAAAATCAAGAACATCCTTTCCACCAAAAACCGAGCGCCATAAAAAAACATGACAAGAAAAAAATGCAAACTCACCCCTTCCCTCGAGCTGGTTGATTCGCCTGAGCAGGTCGGCTATGGTGCTTCGCAGGCAGGTGATCTCGTCCGCCTGCTCGAGGCTCTTCTTCTCGAGGTCGCTGACCCGTTCCTGAAGGGACAGCTCGTCATGATTCAGCATGTCCTCTGCACACGAATAAAAAAGGCAGTGGTTCAGAGCGATGCACATTCATTCGCACTTGCAAATGAACGAGAATTGCATGTTCAAAAGCAGCTGCCGTAGCCAGCAAAGGAGCCAAAATATAGCACTAGGGGAACGTATGCCATAGATTATTCGTTCTAAACTTCCTTTTGGCGCTGGACGTGAATGGACATTGAAAGAGTGACAAAACGACAAGAAATACATTGGCTTTGAGCACACTAGCAAGCAGGGACATAGCTGGAATTCCTTTTCGCACGTATGTACGCATGTTCATAGCATTTATTTATGTGTGCACACGCACATATACAAATACAAAATGTAGATGTTATGGGAGGGGGTATATCAGAGAGGAGAAATTTTGGACATGTTGGTTGCTCATTGTACTTGAGAAACCACAGCGCAATAGACCAACACGATGTCCAGCCATCCTCTAGTTTTGCGTTTGTTTATTATGCTATGGTTTCTGAAGACAATGACGGTGCATTGTGTTCATTCATTGTGCTACGTTTTCTGAAGTATGAGAGATTCGAACCCCCCAATGCACCCCCCCCTGCACTGGAAACAGCACCAATAATGGGAATAGTCGCTCCAGTTAAGCTCTTATCATCCCCACCCGAATTCTGAACCTATTTATGACACAGTTTTTTGAACAGCAGTTAGTATTGTTGATATCGCAAAGTTAGTCCAGTTGCACTTTCTGTGTACGTACTGCAAGACTTGGCTGTAAGATTCAACAAAGCATGTGCCTACACTGCATGCTGGAGTCTTAAAAAGTCAAGCCGCATGCAGTCCAGAAGTAATGTGTTTTCATAAGAGTGAACTACCTGTCTAACAAGTACCTGAAGGCTACATTGGCCAAAACAAGACAAACAGAATGGGGAAAAGCTTTCATGAATTATCAAGTCGCTGTCTCTTTGCATGAGCGATAAAGAGGTTCACACCCTAAAAACGGCACACTAAAAAAGCATGATCTGAACTCATGAGCACACGTTATTGACTGTGCGAGACCGCATAGGCCATCTGCGGAGGTGAACGACCTGGCTATGGAAACCAGCTTTTGTAGCACTGACCTTCATTTCGTAATGACAAATGAACAAAGTTATGAAGCGTGCAAACTTGGGAAGTTGGTAGGATATAACCGAATATGCGAACAGTGCAACCTAGTGAATATACAAACAGTGCAACCTAGAAGTAGTTACAGCATAACTATGGAACCAAGAAACTAGGGTAGAAAAGAGTGCTGACTTTCAAGGGATCACCAAGTCTGCACTCTTTTCTATCTCTGTTTTTTTTTCTTCTGTAGTTACGCTGCAGCTACTTCTAGGTTGCATTGTGCGTCTATTCAGGCAAACAAACATAAGTCTTGGGTGAATAAATGCAGGTGATCCATATATCAGCCACACTTTATGAAGGTGCCGCACTGCAATAGAAAAGGTACAGACTTTCGTTCTCAACAATGTACTACAATGAAAACCTCAAAGGGCAGCCACAAGATTTTTCTTTCTTTTTGATGGGGTGGCACAGAATTTATTGCTCATGGTTACTGAAGTGTGACCTGACCTGGACCGATTCTCACACAGATGTATCTCTTTTTTTATTCAGTGAACTGTGCAGGAGGACCATCTGGAAACATGGTACCCGTTGGTGTTGTGAAGTTAAGAAGTTAACGATTGTAGGAGGAGTACCATCACAGAATTCCCCCTTCCACGCCTTCACAGCAGATCCTGCAGATGCCGATTCATTATATGACGTATATACATATGTCACAGCACTTGAGCTGAACGTGTGTTAAGACGTTTCTGGTTCCCCCGTTTCTGATTCAGGCGCCTTCAGTGTGTTGGTGTACTAAGTCTTCCTCCCAGTTAAGACCCTCGGACATTTAATCCTTGCAGCCTGAAGTTGTCAAGATAAAACGACCAAGTCAAATGTGTGTTCATTGTTTACATTAAACCTGACGGCGGTTATATCGTGCTCTTCTAGCAGATATGCACACATCGTTGTAATACATGTGCCAGTAGTCGCAGACAACTTTCCTTGGCAATGCAGCGAAGGCTACAAGGCCAAGTCGCAGCGTATTGTACCGCTAATGAATGTAGTCCCTACAATTGTGCTCATATTTTCTACGCGAGCTACGAAAAATACTGCCTTCATTTTTCGTATGTAGCTCTCTGACACAGGGCGCAGCTCACACCGGTAAGATTTTCGTATTTGTTTTGATTTGTTCCTTCGTCCCTTCGAGTGCTTGAACGCATAAAAAGGCCACGCCTTTACGTGTACCCTGAACGCCAAGCGGCGTCTGCGTCAATATGAAATGCTGGTCAGCGCCCAGCCTTCACTTCACACAGCAGTACGAACGCATGGCAAACGCGTCGCAGTACAAGTGCAGAAACTCCTGCCCCAAGCTGTAGCTTTCCCTTCATTGCGAAGAAAAACTCAGTGTAAATTACGCGAAAAAAATTACAAAAATACCAGACTTACATCTTTGTGTCCCGCTTTCATATACCAACATTACAGAAAAAACTAGAGAAATTGTCGCGACATCCGGAGAGGTTAGTAATTATACTGCAATACTTAGCATGCCAGTCTGTGTGCTATAAGAAGACCCAAGGCCATGGACATCCTGCAACCATATCTCACATGTAACCAGGTGGATATTGTTATCTAACTAGATTTAATCGTGTCGTGGCTACATCTTCTCGGGCTCACCTCGTCGCTGACCAGACACGGGGGCGTGCTGTCAAAGCGGGCACGTTAACAACAACGACGACGCTCGACGTGGCCGGCGCGGCATCTACCCGACCGCACATCAACCGCTCGAGTCAGCTGCTCGAGTACACGGGAACTGGCGCCGCGGCTAGAGCGACTCCGGGAACTTCGGCGCGGCGTCGCACACCGCTAGCGGCGGCCGCGGCCACAACTGGAGCGGGGGCCGGGCGAGGGGCGCAACCTCCTCTCATACAGCTTCGTCGCCGTGAAATGCGCGGCAAAAATAAACAAATAAAAAGAGGAGAGAGAAAAGAAAGCGCGCGTTGACATATGGGTGACAGAGCTGAAGTCCCACAGGCGCGACTCGCGTGGGTTATAAACTGAGAACTTGATGGATGGTCAGAGAAAAAAAATCGAAAAATAAATAATTGAAGCGAGCACCACGCAGCAGCTGTGTTTCTTGCGCTCGCTTTCGCAATCCACGTGAGCGTGCGGTGAAGACGAACTCATTCGAAGGATCGAAATCGTAATCATCGTCACTGCGCTTTCGGGGAACAAGAACGAAAACAGCACGAGAGGTCTGAGCGGACAATCCAAAATGCGAAATAAAAACTCGCTCCGCTGATGCACTCGCGCGGGCACGGTATAGAAAGAAATATGTCCTGTCGTCAATGAGCTCATTAATTCCCTTTTACCCCCTTCCCTGAAATAAAGTTCCTTTTTTATTTACTCTGAAACAAGAGGGCACGTATGAATTTCTGTTTAATTAGCCCCAAAAGGCATGTGGCTCTGCCTCAATCATTCGTCTTGCCTTCTCCACTTTCAGCAAACTAAAAGTAGAGAAAACATTTGCTTTGCCTTGATTCCCAGTCCATCTAGCTCCCTATATTTATCATCTCTATACGACTGCTACCGTTCGCCACGCAGAGTACCATCTCACAGTGGTAACTGCTAAAAAAGATTTTTTTTTTTTTTGTCGTTACTGTCCAGTCGCGCAGCCATCATGAGGGTGTGGCACACAGGGCCCGTATACAGCACCGGCTTTGGCCCGTGCCCCCCTCCCCTTCTCACGATTCTTTTTTTCGCCATAGCATATAGAGAGCACGAAATCCCTGCCCGGCCCTTCAGATCAAAGTGCCCACCCCCCGCGCCCTCTCACAAAAAAAAAAAAAAAAATCTGCCTATGCCTCTGTTGCCGGCTTTACATGATTATACCAGGACAACGGAGGAAACGGCCTGCCCTGGCACGACCCATCGACCACACGGTCACGAAAGACAAGGTCAGCGCGGCGTAGCATTTACATCTCTTTCGTGAATTGCAGCAACGGTGCAGCCTTTTGGGCCATATAGTTGAACCCATAGCTCTAAAAACAGGTGGGCCAACGAAGACAGCAGGACGACAGGGCGTCCTACTGTCTTCCTTGATACCCATTTGTAGCGTTGTGGCAATGTCCATTCACGAAAACGTGCGGCGACAGCAAAGCCAGCCCAGAGCCGTCAACAGCGTTGCAAACGGACAAACAGCCAGGAATTTAGCGTCTCATAAAAAAAAAAAAGTGCACGCCGTCGATAGAGCTAAATACTTGGCGGAGTATACATAGGTAAAGAACTTCCATCCTCAAAAGGGGGCTTGCTTGGGGCTTCTTTCCACCCCGAAACAATGATCATCTAACCTAATCTGATAATCGTTTCCCTCTTGAAAACACGGCGCTATTCACCTTTTCATAAACGCCTCCCTGGGCGCCGCCATAACCCTCCTTGGGCTGTGCAAATTGGCGAGTCCCTTCGAAAATGCACTGACAACGCTGCGCCCTTAGCCTTTGTACTCCCGCGCACAGCCAACACCACACAGCCAACACCACACAGCCCATCATGGCGGTGTGTTTTTTCCCTTCCTGTGAAAAGGTGTATATCCGCGTTCTATCAAGAACGCTACGTCACAACGATTTCACACGTGCACACGCTGTTCTGAGCGTCGATAACGCGAGGAATCGCACGCTAAATAAATGACACAGTTACTGTTGTGGAACAGAAGGGCGTATCGAATACACCATATCATTTTCAAGAGACCGAACTCTCTGGTTTTGAAACGGAAACAAACTCCGAATCGCGGAACCAAATTGTTTCTTAGAATGCGAACGTGGCACGTTCCCTTCACTTCTCAGGTGGGCTGTTTTGGCAAGCGTCGGTCTCGTCTAATTATTCAAAAGCTTTAAGTCCAACGTTTATGTCATATTGCTTCTCATTTTCCCCGTCGACATTTATCATTAAAAAATAA